TGGTATAATTGTGTTATTTTGGCGTATTTGGTTTTCTAATTATGGTCAATTATGAAGAATTAATTATATTAAGAGCATTAATCAATATTTAAATTTAGAATCAGCTTTTAATTGATAGCGCCCGCCAGTCCTCAATCTCTTGTGCGTCCTAACCACCGATGGCATCTGGTTCGTGTCCATGCCACCCCCCCCCCCCCCACCTCCGGAAAAAGGGATTGCCCCCATGAAAAAAATCTGACAACAGATCATTTTCATTACTGAAACTTAACACTATACCCCATGTCTCCTCTAGATAATATTACTTGCCCGTCCGAACAATCAGGTCTAGCTACAGGCCTGTACACTTCTCAATGGCAGCAAGGATCTACAACTTCTAATGCTGGTTTCCAATGATGTTGAAGTTTGACCTTACCCAAATCTAAAAATCTACCGTGCTTAAGGAACATGACCCTGGGTGTGCTTTTGGCAGGATTTTTTAGAGTTATGGCCCCTGGCCCTAGTTAAAACGATATTGAAAGCATAAAAAACCCGTAAAACTCTTTTCGAAGTGAAATGATATCAAACTTTATAGCCGACGATCTCAATCTAAAAAATTTCATTGCTCGCAATAGCTTGTATTTTTTGCCAAAATGCGTAGGAAATATAAAGGCTTTGGCTGATTGAAATCATAAAGAACAACTTAAGGAAAATAAGATAAATTGCGATTCTTTAAGATGTTCTTTGAAGTGAAATGAGAATAATTCCTTTGAAGCTATCAGAGATCTTAGACAAACTTTAATTTATCAAAAGTGGAATTTGATGTGCATTTATCAGGGTTTGGGATGATAAGAATGCCAAAATATGACAAGCACAAGGTTTGAATTCAAATAACAGAAACTTCACATTAATTTCAGAAATTATCTGCTATGATTCCACAAGATATTGAAATTAATATGATTATTTCTAAATAAACAGACCTTGAACTATTTTCTGATTTAGTCGCTGTTTTATGACCCAATATGCATATTGCTATCAGAAAACTTCCACGGGAACTTATGTTCTATGAAGTTCTTTGAAAAAGAGAAAAGGATCAGAAACCGTACAGTTTTAAAGGAGCACCTTCACTATCACCAATCAAACCAGAGTTTCAGAAACAGGAATCATTTTAGCTTATACAATCAGTAAGAGTGTACACAGCTCATCGTCGAATTTTGAGCCTTCAAATCTAAGTGTATCCATAAGTATTCACGTTTGAAAGTTAAAAATTCGACTCGAATTTTAGTGAGCCTATGCCATATATAGAAAAAACATATATAGAAAAAACATATAGGAATAGACAATAAAATTTGAGGTATATTTGAAGGCATTATGTGATATTCGCGCGGTTTAGTAATTCTTAAGACTATTAAAGCACAACAAATGCCGATTATTCCCCTTTAAAATATTTTGATTAATTCAAGGGCAATAACTTAAAATCTCGTGCTTTTTGGCTTTTTCAAATACTGAGGCATTTATATCCACTTAAGTAAAATAGGTCATATGAGCTAATTATTTAGTCAACGTTCTTCTTCCTGTAGAATATTCAGGTTATCGATTTCTAGTATCTGATCAGTGAGTTCGCTAATTTTTAATTTTTCGTTAATTTTAGAAACTAACCCATATTTCTTATAGCTATCGTGATGAGGATTGTTTATCTGAAACACGTGTCGACAGCATTAGATGAGCTCTAGTAAATACCACACTACCCCGAGTTTGCTTGTCTGTTCATGACTTGCTAATTAGAAGAAAAACAAAGCTTAAAGATGGGTTTCCTTATTTTTCAGTGTCAAATTAAGCAAATTATTTGATAAATTGGTGTTTCTAATGAATTATCATGTATTCTTAATCATATCATTATGTTCTTATTGCATATAGTTAAGAGTAAACCAATCATTAATATCCATGTATGTGCAGTCTGGATAAACAAAAACAGACTTTTTGACCTTTCTTGATCCGTCACTCAATGGATTTAGCTAACTGTGGATTAATTATGAGACAAACTGGTAGTATTCCAAGTCATTAGAACACCTTTACTTTCTTTTCATATAAGTATTAGCATTTTCATTTTCATGAATGAAAATAAGGGAACCCATCTTTAAAACTAAGAAGAGCAGGTATGATTATGAAGTACAACGTTGCAAAAATTATTCAATGTGTCGAATACGTACCTCCTTATAGATTTGCTGAATAAGCAAGGTTATAAATTTATATGCAAGTATTGTCTGAAAAGAAGTTTTAAATTGTGTAAAAACGTAAGAAAGTGTAAGAAAAGATAAGAAACAATAAATAAGATAGATACCTGTAGAGATTTAGATAAACTTGAAATAAAACTGCGAATTAGACATGTTTACTTTTTCTACTGTTTTTATAAAGTTAATGTTAGACGCGTCAAAACCTGTGGATTTTGTGCATAAATAAAAAAAAAACCCATTAAAATCCTAACTATAACAAAAAACCCTTAACCAAAAAAACTAAAAAAAACCAAAATTCAAAGCCTAAAGGTACAGATTCTCCTTGTGTTTGACCAATCGTACCTTAGACTCAGAAACAGGAATTTTTTTTTAGTATTATCAGTCATAGCCTAGCGTTTGCAGCTCACCGTTAAAATGTGAGCCTTCAAATCCATGTGTGTCCAGAATTATCTACGTTAGAATGTTAAAATGGCGACCCGTCATTTATTGACTCACTGTCATAATTATATAGAAAAGACATCTAGCTTGAGATATTTTTGAATGAGTAAAGATAACTTATTCAAGGTCACAAGACATTCACACTCCGACTCTAATTAGAAATCTCGACCACCATTTTCGACGTAATCAACCAAAATGGCGCCACATTCTAAAGCTGAAATCTACTGTGCTACTGTCCGTCTGCAAAACAGAAAAAAGACTTGCCCATCTGACTCTTCAGAAGCAATTTTTTGTTTCTCCATTGACACCTTTAAAAAAAAACCTTGAAATTTTAAAGCTATTCTGTCATTTTTATAACCAGCCATAAACACAAATATTGTTATTATAAACATAATAAAACACTTTTAGGAACATTGTAATTTTTATGGGTCATTTAAATGTTTTATTTTTTGAAGATAATTTGGTTTCCATGGCAACCATCTCTGATCTCTGAAAAATGTTACCGTTACTGATATATTTATTTACTTTTCCTGTTTTGATGGAATTTGATTTTTTGAATAGTTGTTACTACTAGTCCTCATAATCTATTCAATGAAATGAATGGAGTTTTACGTCCTACTTCTGCACTCCTACTTCCCCTCACTGAAATTTTAATAAAAAAAAAATTCACAAGGACGGTAACTTTGTATATTGTCGTGAAGAAACGCAAAGTTTTGAAGAAAAAAAGAAACCCAAATATTGGAATATATGCCAAGAAAATCCTGTGGAAATAATACAGGGACAAGGGCGATAACTCTTTTCGTTGCCATCGTAGAATACTCAAACTCCATCTGGCATTATGCAGAGTTGTAAAGGTATAAAAAGAGCAAACAGCTATCTTGAGTTGTTCTCCTTCATGCAGATTGCAAATGCGAGGTGTGTGCTGAAAGTGTGAAAGTTCTCTATCTAGTAAACAACACAGTCGCTATTGAATTAGTTTCGTTAGTCACATCAGAGTAGAAATGAAATAGTTTTCCGTGCTATGTTTCCATCAGATTGCAAACACAATGTCCAAAAGGTCTCCACTGTAAGTTACAGCTGTGCTCTGCAACAGGCAACAGGTTCAGCTCCACAGGATTGCCGACTAGGACACTGTTCATATATGTCAAAAAATCTCTGTTTGTTACCAAAAATGGATTATCACAAGTTCCACATTTGGGTATTACTGACGAATTAAAAAATAACCAGATTTAATAATAGGTTTAATATCAAAATATAGAATAAAAACAATATAATTAAATATAATACAACAATAGCCGTAAATAAAAAAAAAATGATACTGTACTGATAAAGGATATAACATAACATGGATTAATGTTAATATAAAGCACAACATAGAACATGATAAATAAAAGAACATAATACAGCAAGAAACACTATCAGTGCATAAATTGTACATAAGTAATTGTTTTAATGGAGGTTGAATTGTAAAGCAAAGATGTATGCACATTCAAGGATGATTCAACTAGTATATAGTTTCAACAATATAAAATATATAACAATTAATTAAAATTGATTGGCATGATAGCTGCTGATAGTTAAAAAAGTAAGACAAAATTATTGGTGGATTCAGTATTGCAATATCTAAATCAAATCCTTGACAAAACCTTACCAAACCAAAAAATTGACATCCTTAAATATTGTAGTCTGCAGACTGAGCATGAGGTAATTATGGAGGGGAAGAGTAAAATGTGTGATGATAATACACAACCACACAAAATATAATATAAGAAAATTTCAACAAGACAACAGATTTATAAAATATATAACAATGAAAAAAAAAGATTGGCAAGATAGCTGCCTAGAGTTAAAAAAGTAAGACACAATAATTGGTGGGTTCAGTATTGGAATATTTCATTGAATCCTTGACGAAAAATTGTAAAATCAAACCCATCCCAAATTTCTCAAATATCTATATCAAAACTGTAGTCTCTGCCACATTCACAAGCTAATTCTCATTCAGCAAGGGGAATAACTCATTACTTGATGAAAATTCATGACAGTCAAACCCATCCTAATGTACCAAATTATGTTATACTCTGTTGCATCAAAATCCAGTCGAAAGTAGCAACATTAGTATTACTCTACATGTATTGTGGGTATGGGAACAATGGTTTCATTTTGTGCCAACTCTTTCCACTCTTTGGCTAACTTGTCCATTTAACAATCGTTCAAAAGAATGCTAGTCATGATATAAACATCCAAAAATTTGATCCAATCCAAATGAATGACTATCATCAAAGATGGATGCCTCATTTGAGTAAGGCATAATTTGTGAGCTGTCAAATTTTCTCAAATGGCTGCCTAAAGCTGTTATAAATCAGATACAATAGGTGGGGAATTTTTCCTTGGTGATTTTCCAAGATGGCTGCCTGGTGGATGAAGTATTCTGATCTCTTCTTTGATTGGTTGAGAAGACAATATTTGAGTTAAGTTAACGTTTAAAGAATGTAAAGAAGATAAGTATTGTATTTCTTGTTTATCTTCTAAGTCTTTCATTTCTGCAAAAGAAAATAACGCTGCGAGTGTTTCTGCAAATGTCATACATTTATGCACCTGATTGAGTAACTGAAGATAAGCAACCAGGAGCATTAGCCTATGCTTTATAAATTTCCAACACTGGGCCTCGTTTTATTGTCCTATCCAAATGACTAGACGCTTCAGCCCTTCTGACCTGCATCACTGACAGCATATCTTGAGCTATGTTGGGAGTAAGTGAGCCACTGCAGCCCCCGAAATCAGTCCCACCAGTTAACTTACCTATTTTAGCTCGTGTATTTTCTGATTCTAACTGTATGTTCTGTACTGTTTTTAACTCACGTAGTTTTTGTTCATGTGATTGTTTTAAGGCATCTAATTTATGTTTATGGTCTTGTCTCATTTTATCTATTTCATTTTCTGTAAGAATCAGAATAAAATTTACCATTCCATGTCTCAAATATATTAAATATAAATTGATAGGATACATTTGTCAATTTGCATTACCAACCTCCAAGTCAAGGGAAAGTACTCCAAAATTTTTCTCATGGACTAAACCTATTACTGTAGAGTGTATATGCACAATTGGTAGTTTTAGTATGGTAAAGTATCACCAAACGCCAACATGGTATGATGAGCATAGTAGTGTACTTACTAAGATGGCTACGTGACTGCTGTTTCTTCAGTTTAAAATCTATTAATAGTTGTTCTTGTTGTTGTATTTCACCATCTAATCTTAATTTAGTACGAGATTCAATAGCATTATTCTGCATCTCCTGTCAAAAACAGTATAATACATGTATAAGAAAATAGACTGTAAATTCAGCAATTTGACTGGATTGTACAATACCTATATACAGCAAATAAGATCCCTTGATTATAACAGTTATACACTGTTATAATGTTTTTAGTCTCTCTGTCAAGGCCTCTGATTGGCTATATCTGCTAGCTTACAATCCAGTCAAATCAAAAACTGCTGTGATACAAGAAAACCATCTAATGATGTCAAGGCATTAGACAGAGTTTGTAATAGCTTGACATTGTGAAGATAGGGTCTAATAAGCTTCTGCGTTGTGAAAAAAAGTGATTCTTATAATCATTATTCAGTTCTGGATAGGATAATCTTTAAGGCTTTGCTGTGTTTCAAAACAAAATGATGTAATTAAAGAATAAAGGTCAAAACAAATTATTAAATCAATGTTAAAAAGGTAAATAATTTACCTGTAGCCTGTCACTAGAATGATATCCTCTAAATACAACTTTCTGTATGTTAAATCCTATTTTCTCAGCACGTTGTAATAACTGTGAATAACTTTTTAAATCACTAAGACTAGCTGTCTGATTAACAAACTGTTCAAAACTGTCAAAAATAAGAGAAGAATTTTAATTTACAATTATAATATGAAATTACAGCTGCACAGATCAGGTAAATATTTCATGTAGAATCTCTTTTTATACTTTGTTCAAAGGAGTGAAAATCTACATGATATAAAAACTGGAAGATTTTTATTTACAACTCCAAAATGGTCAACTGTGAATTAGACTTCAGGATCACTTTCTTTTCTATATAATTTGAATGATTTTTCATACAATTACTTAGAATATTGGCTATAAAATGCTCAGTTCCTTTACTTACTTCAATTTTCCGGCAAATGCAATAACATCAGAACATACTGCACTAAAAATTAACAATATAGCAACAAATTATTATCTTAAATAATGATACAGTGTAATCTGTAATCCGACATCTTTTTTTGGACCAGATTGATTTTCTTCTTAGGTTAGTTTAAAAACTCTGAGTGCTCTATACTACTTTAAATGAAGGTAAAAAAGTAAGCAATTTGCATATCTTTCACATTCTCCTAGCAATATTTATTCTTTGAACACTGCATGACACTACTCTTCATCTTTCAACATGGCCCAAAACATTTTACTTGTAACATTCTAATAGTTTTTATAATCAGTACACTTACTTCATCATATCAGCTATTGGATCATGACTGCTTTCTAACTGTAGAGAAAAATACATATATTTAAGTTGATGTAAACCAAATATTGACTTGATCAGCTCAATTGAGCTCATCTTAGAATTGCTCTGCTGGGTACACAAATCTTTACTTAAAAGTTCAATATTTAGGACAAAAATGTTATAAGGATAATATCTAAGCTGAATGGAGAATGAAAAGTAAGAATATATGAATAACCTTACCATTTTAATGATATCTTCTAATTCATAAAATAACATTAGTTTAACTATAATCATAGTATCATCTATAGTTCTTACTTCTCTTACCTACAAATATACATACAGAGATAGGGTTTTTATTACATGCAAAACTAGGGTCAAATAGGAAGCTGTAATTGTAATTCTAGAGTCAAACAGTTCAAATAGTGGCTAAGGATATCCAGATAGTAACAAGCAATTGCCAAGCAAATACACTTCAGTATATCAAGGCCCGTGACTCAGAAAAGATATGTCGAATAGCACTCATATATGAACTCATCCTACATATTGGGAATATAAAGCTACAAATGCAAATCTGAAAAAATTCTGTTGCATTTATCGAGTCGAGGAGCAACAACAAAATTTATCACCATTACAAAATATTCAAAAATAAAAAAAATATTTAAAAAATTAGACGCTGTACTTACATCATAATAGAAGTGACCAGGTATATTCTGTAACTGAGAGAAGACACTGCCTTTAGCTATCAATCTAGCTTTATTTTCAGGATCACTACCATGCCATTTAAACTCATGTAACCTAAAAATATTCAACAAAATTATAACAACGTACTACTTTCTAAGTTTGCCTTCTTATCTCAACTTCAAATTAGCATTTAAGTGAATCACAAAAGGATATGGTAGACCTAATCGACAAATTTTACTTCAGCTATCTGTACTACTGTTGATATATTTTATCAAATTGTAGATATGAGCTCTTCAATTTAAAAGGCAATAAAATTAAGCTCCATCAGCTTAGGAAAAGGAAAAGGAGTCTAATGGCAGACCATATCAGTGATTAGGGTAAAACATTACTATTCAACAGAAGGGACTTAAATGGTGTTAAAGTTTTGTTTACAACTATTGTGATGTTATTAGTGTAGTTCATTTTCATTTTTTAACATTTCAAATCCAATCAATGACTTTAATTGAAGACATACCACTCTTCAGCTTGAGGTACAAATAAACAGGGTCCTTGTATGATTCTCCTATCGACCCCACCTTCTTTCTGACGTTTATAGACAATTACAATATGGTTAGAGTCAACTTTGGTTGCTTTCTGTTTATATACTCGTTCATATACTTGTGGATTAGAGAATACTTCACATGGTCTGAAAGAGTAAAAAAAACATAAATGATCAAGTTGGATTTTTAAAGTCACACAAATGTTTAAACAAAACAAGAAAAAAAAATTCACAAAAATGACAAAAAAATGTGTATATTCTTCATAAAACTTTCCCAAATGTTTGGACACTTTGTTAATTGTATATCAATTGTATACAAAAAGCTTGAAATCTTCAGTATTATTTTTCTAATATATAAAAATCTTAAACTATAAATTAAATAATTATGCACAGTAAAGAGATAGAGCTATATAAATTTTTATTTAAAAAGTTTAAATAGGACTCAACTCTAGCTGTCAATATTCTTATCCGGATGAAAATCCAACAAATGCAACAAAAACATGTCGATTTGGACTTTTAATCTTTTCATGTGCTGTTATTTTTATTAATGGACATGGGCACATGCGGAGCACGCAATTGAATGAAAAATGAATCTGATTGGATGTTGACAATTTGTCTTGCAGGCGATAAAACTATCGGAGACAATTATCAAACTTGTTTGATATTATAAATCCTGTCTAGGACGCATTAATCAGGTTGTAGAAGTACAGGCACATGAGAGATTGTGCACACAACTTAAGAATGTTAAAAAGAATCTTATTTCGTCAAAAACCTGGTGAAAATTCTAAATTCTTATCTTACCCTTTTTTGTGTTTGATTGTACCATCTAATGTCTTTAATACCAAATATTCATTAGGCTCTGCTGTAAATTTTACTAACTGTTCAAATCTCTTACGATATAAAAACACCTACAAGTATGATTGAAATTTTAGTTTTGAAGTACTCCTTCTTCTGTCTGCTCTTTTAGACCAGTTCAGATCCTTGGATATTTTTAAGGGAAAGATGTGCCATTTTTTTTTACCAATCATGCCTTAGTCTCAGAAATAGGAATTTTTAAGCTTAACCAATCAGTAACAGTGTTCACAGCTCACTGTCGAAATTTGAGCATCAAATTCATATGTGTCCAGAATTATTTGCGTTTGAATGTTAAAATAACGACTTCTCAATTAAAGATACTCTGTGATATATATAGAAAAGACATATATAGAAATAGTGAGTAAAATTCCTAGTTTGAAATATTTTCAAAAGAATTATGCCATTTTCTTACATTTCTAGTATTTTTTAAGACTATTTACATAATTATATTCAACACTCAAATCAACCCCTAAAATGGCACAACTATCTCTTTAAGTTTGAAATCCTATAACTCTGTTCTTTTAACAAATAGAGTTGTCACTTTTGGCAAAAGAACTTCTTGTAGAACACCTAAAACATCAGGAAATTTGGGTTAATCTATTTCATGTCAAAATTAAAACATTAACACAGAAATGGATTTTTACCCTTTGAGGCCCAACAATAAGTTCACTTTGACCAAGGTGGTTATAAACTAAAGCTTGTTCTCCCTCTCTCACTGTCTTAAACTTCATCCTGCCCTAACAATATACCGTCTGTTCCTTGTCCCTAGAGTTTTTCACACAGTCTGAAAAAAGACAAGAAATATTTGCTTATCCATACATAAATTCAGTTTCCTTCAATTCCAAAATATTCCAAAATATTCGTAAATATACCTTGGAAGTCAGAAATTGAAATAGATTAAGCTTACGCTGCCGTCCTGGAAAATTTCCCTCATTGCACACTGCATAAATATAGTGAGAAAGATCCCTGATCATCCCTGCCTAATTAATGAGTAATCATAGCAGTAGCCTATGTATTTGTATAAATTTGTATTGAGGATTACAGGTAGCCTACACGCAGGCTCTTTCCAGTTACTGCTTTGTCTTTTTTGTACTCACCTCAATCATTCCTTATCGGTAGATAATGGCGGTTCTCTGAATAAATATGTTAATTGATAGAAGTAAAGAGGATCAGTGTTTAAAAATACTCTTTGATGTCATTATTTTATCAATAATCTAATTACCCGGAAGTCACGATCAAAAAAACAACAATATAGTCGTTATCATCAAGACTCATATCAAGGGAGGTAATTCAGCCCATATCAGACAACAGCTAAATACTTTTACCAGAAAGACACTATTAAAGTATGATAACTCTTCTCATTGACTTGATTTAATCGAAATCATCAAGCCTGAGGCTGTTTCAATTAAATTCAAATTACAATAAATATGCAATTTGTAAAAAAAAAGGTTGAAATTTTCATTACATTTTTTATTTTACAAATCTATGTCATTTTATTTTTTATGATATTGTTTTATTTTCTGATGGTAGTTGTGATGAGTTAGAGTTAGTTTTAGTAGTTGATGTTGAATGAGCAGCAGCAAAAATAACATCCATGGCACCTAAAACTTCCATGGACAATTTTATAAGTTCTAATTCCTTATCTACAGTTTTCTTTAAGCCAATCAATGCACTGTCTATAAAACTGTTTTGACCAATAGTTGACCAGTAAATGTCAATAATAATATTAGAAACATCCATCATAGTCACTGCAAATTCAGACTTTGTTAAATTATGACGCACGAAGTTTATCAACATACACAAAGATTTTGAGTCTTGTCCAGCTAATGCCGCTTTTATAGTTCCACGTCTCATCAACTCCTGCATTATTCCAACTGTCACCTCTGGATGTTTTCTTTGAACTTTCAACTGAAGCACCTCATCTAAAGCTTTGCTATGGTCAAATTTTTTCAAACTTCTGTCATACTTTGCTAAAATTTCTCTTTTTTTATGCTGCACTACTTGATCAGTTTTCTGAACAACGTATGTTTTTGCCTGTAACTGGTACTTGTAAGAATTTTTCTTCACTGGTTTCACAATTTTGGTCTCTGATTCTTTTCTTTTTTGCATAGATAAAAGTCCGTCTGCCATTCCAACAGCAACCATAGTATCGTCAGGGGCAACACTTAGACTCAATATGGAGCCAGGGTAATCCAAGGTATGAACAACTTGATAAGATGTGACATCATAAATTTTGACATGTCTATCCAGAGATCCAGACATGAATCTTTGATTGTTGCTACAAAAAGTCAAACTTGTGATTGCTTTATGATGATGACTTAAAGTAGTTAAGAGTCGTCCTCCAGCTAGAGCATCCCAAACATTTATATTGTTTCCTCCTGCAGTCATGAAAATTCCACCATTTGGAAACATTAAGACACTCTCAATGGGAAAACCATGATCTACTGTTAAGACACTTGCAGGCATCCTAGCGTCGAAAAGCCTGGCTTTATGATCGTAACAGCCTGTAAGAACAATGTCAGGACTTGCGTCGCTAACAGTACCAGTTCTGATATAATCCCCATGTTCTTTATAATTGATAATTTGTTTTTCACTTGACAAATCCCAAATTCTTGCTGTTTTGTCATCTGAACCAGACAAAACTCGAATATTATCTGACAAGAAACGGGCAACTTGAACTGAGCGATTATGACCACGGAAAGTTCTTAATGACGATTTACTGTTAACATCAAATACATTGATTATTCCTTCATCTCCGCCAGCTACAAGAAGTCTGCCATCTGAACGATAACAAGCACTGTGTGCTGCTTCTTTAAAACGACTGATGGTTCTTACAATCTGACAAGTTTGTGGACTATAAATTTGAATTCTGGCTGAACAGGTTACGGCCAGATAATTGGGAGATACTGGACAGAAGTTAATGTGTGTGATGGCACCATACTCTTTGACAGTTACTGGAACTGTCAAGTTGTTCCAATATGATACATCTCTCGTGGCCGTTTCTCCAACTCGTGGAAATGTTTTAGCTTGTGTTTTCTTGAAGGAGGCTGCCATCTTGGTAAACGCACGTGTTGTATGTAAGACTGGTTGATAGTTCTATATAGTCCGAAACTCAGACTGAAGAAAATTGTTATAGACGAGGAAAGAGAAAGGAAAAAATGACTACTGATTTGGATTCTTTTCCAAATCTATATATGAATGAATTAGATGATAAGCTATACAAACAAAATACCCGATAATGATATACATAAGGTATGAAGCCAAACACCAGAAACGGACTAGCTATTTATCAACATTTTTTCAGAGTTATACCCCTTTGCAATATGGCAGAAAAATAAGTAAATTTTAACTATAACAAATTTTTTACATTTATTAATAGAAATATCATGTCTTTATCTCAGTTGCAGTCAAACTTTCTAATAAAGGTGCATCAAGTGCTGACATTAACTGGCAGCTCTAGGAGTTCTATAAGTATAAGAAGCATAAGCAAAACCGAATCTGTACTTAAAAATAGGAGGCGAGAGAGAATGAGAGAAGAAAAGAACAGGCCATTTTCTCCTAAAGATCTAGGCAAAGATGAACTGTCAGCCAAAGCTGTTCATTGGAAAGAAAAAGAAGGGTTTAAATTATTACAAACAGCACTTGCAAAACATGGTGAGTTTTAGATCTTGTTACTCTCTGACTACACTGTTTTCGGAATTGAATTTTGACATTTTCATATGAATTGAAATATCAACTACAAAATACTACTGAGAGTCTTAACTAACTTAGATTGTCTTTGGATTGTCTTTGAATGGATGAAAATGTTAAACACTGACAATAATATTAAATGCAAAAATGATTTTACAGAGGTGAATTTTCATTCTGAAAAGTGGGCCATTTTCAAGTGAATTTTCTAAGAGGAAAGTGTGTCTATTTTAAATGTAATATCACTGAACCTCACATTTCTATGGACCTGAAGACATTCTAAGAAAAATGGCATACAATTGAAAATTTTATTTTGAATATTTATGAAATGAGAGAAAAAATTAAATTCAGAGTTCAATGTTAAATGTAGTACAAGAATATTTCTAAGTAACAGACATTGGTGATCAAATTAAATTCAAACACCTGAAAAAGGCCACCCTCACCCTCCCAGCAATAAGCTCAGCATTGAATTTTCTTCTTTCATTTCACAAAATGATTTTTCCATTGCATGCCATAATCTTAGAATGACTTCTATAGGTCTATTGAAAATAGCTATTAAAAGATGTTGCTGCCCAAAGATTCTTTCTTCTCCTGCCTTGGATTCGTACAAGGCTGTGATTTTGTGAATGTAGAAGTCAGTTATTGTATGGAGTGAATAAAACCATTTTCTATGGAAATTTTCTGGCAGTCTAAATTTTGAGGGTAATTATCATATTTTTGAAATCATTCATTTGTTATTGTGTATAATTTCAGTGGCTCATCCACCAGGAAAAATAGATAAGTCAACTAATAGATTCAAAATTATACCTGAAATGGTTCCAGAATTTATTGTACCTGATTTGACTGATTTTAAGGTGAGCTATTACTGATCTTGTTACAGTTCATCTTGCTTCATTTACTGAAGTCTGGTTTAGAAAGTTTAAAGGGAGAGATTCGCCATTTGCGGGGGTTGATTGTCTGTTTTGGTGAGGATCTGTCAGATATCAATACACTATAAATACAATTAACTGAAAAATAATAATCACAAAATATCCTGGTCCATTGATATGAAAGCTTAAGCCTACACAAATAAAACTAAAACATGAACTCTGTGTTAAACTGAAAAGTTTAAATGTCCCTACACACACCTCTTTAAACAAATGTTCAGTAGGAACGCAGGCTGAAAATAGGCCAGTGGTCTGAAGATCGCATAGCGTGCAACTCTGAGTAACAACATGATTCTAGTATCTAGCTCTGTTTTAATATTTCTAAATACATTTTATACAACCAAAAATTCATCAAGTATTCATTTACTTTTAATATACAACCATGTTTTTCTGTTTCATTTCAGCTTAAACCATATATCTCCTATCGTTCTGAATCAGTGAAACAAGACAAAATAACAGCCAAGAAATTGTTCCATTTATGCTATGCTGATAAGGTAAAGGAAATTAAAGAACAGAAAGCCAGATCACAAGCAGAAGAGACACAGTTACAAAATGAAGATCCTAAAGTGAAGTGAACATTTTTAATATTAGGACTGTGTGTAAAATTTGCTTTTATGTGGAACCAATTATTTTAAGAGACACTGAGTTTCATGGATGATTTAGAATTTTCTATGGAACATGAATATTGCATTTGTGACCAATGATACCTACAAAATGTGACCTACACATATATGGATGATTGAACGAACACTAATAATGTTTGAAATTTTTTGAAACAACACTTTGTTGAGGTAGTTTGTAGATAAAAACTAGCTGTATGTTATAAACATTGAGTATATTGGTAATTATTTAACATGTATTGCCTACCTCCTTGAATTTCTGCAATTTGACTACTATACAAATAGAAATATAAAAACAGCACTTGAATCGTAATGTTACTCAGAGTTTCACGCAATGCGATCTTCAGTCTGCATCCCTACTATAGAACAAGTAGAACTTATTCTCATGTTTACATTTTGAGATGAGTTTAGAACGTTTGTTTAAAGAAGTAGGCTAAGGGGCATTAATGATGGAAAGTTTTTCGTTTACACACAGGTTACATAGTTTTATATATTTATATTTGTGGGTTGTCTTCAAATGTCTTTAAATCGACTAATCATACCTCAGTCTCAGAAAAGGAATTATTTTTGCTAAGCTTATTATTTATAGTGTTCTCAACTCACCATCAAAATACTAGCCCGATTTATCCACGTTCGAAAGTTCTAATGACGACCCATTCTTTGAGTGAGACACTGTCATATATGGAGAAGAAATATAAATATAAAGTGAAATTCCTTGTTTGAGATATTTTTGAACGATTTATGTGATTTTGTACATTTCTAGTGCTTTTGAAGAAAAAGAAATTCACATGTAATCAACCCCCCAAAATGGTGAACCATGGCCTAAATGAAACAAATCTTTTTTTATCAATCATTTAATTCATATCACAGAAAACTTTGTCAAATCAAATTAAAACTGGAATGATCAACAAATAAATAATAACAATCAGAATAATAAATACTTCACACAATTTTTACAATCCAACTTTAATATTGCTTCCAATTTAATTTGGCTCTTTCAATAATGCTGCTTACAGAAAACTGTTCTGATATTGAAGTTTTCATCATCTAAAAATCAAGTATAAAATTTAGATTGAATTCAATTTAGTTATTTGATTCTATTAAAAATATTTTTGAATACTAAAACTATATCGCAAGTAGCCTTTAACATAGTAATAATATATTCAATTTAGTATTTAGTATTATATTTAATTGGCTATTAAAATAGTTTCAAAATAGTATTATATTTATTTATTACATTCAATTTAATTATTTAGTTCATACGATTTTGTACATTTTGATATACATGACTGAAGTCTTTATAACCAATGCACATGCAAGACATCAGGAAGAGTCCATTATTCTCAAAGGTAGCATGGTCTGATAACAATTGGCTTGACATGCACAATTTCAATTAACACTCATCCTACCCAAAGACGTAATAGACTTTTTCATGTTTATATTTTGAAATACATGAAAGCTCAACAATATCATCTTAATTTTCAATCACTTAAGATTCTGAATTAAAAGATGATAAATAATTCTAGAATTTAAACTCAAATCAATTAAGTACAAAAGTTAAAACAAGTTTATCATTTTGTTCATATATTCTAGGCAATCTTAAGGTCCTCTTAAGATACCAATATTGAAAATTAAAATGATTTCTATAATACAATATAAAAATATATAATATCACAGATAGTTGTTTCAATCTCAATTTTTCTAAGTAATTAATCAATAACAGTAACATTTCTGTGATACAATAAAAACAATTCTATATGACATCATATTGATATTGCCTTATGTCTTACCAAAAGTAAGTAAATTTTTACAATAATTCTTAAATTGTAATCAAAAGGTAATGCTATTACATATTTACGTAAATATTTCATATAAGTTGCATGTTTTATTATATTAGGAAGATTATAAGCCTACTCGATGTTTTGTAAGGATACTTAAAATTCAGAGTTTGGAACAGATCATTCTTTACATATTTTCTCATGGTGCAGGCACAAGAATGATCTTGGTTGGTGATTTTTGTCGCTGACTAGGCTTCAGTGTTGTTGAGAGTTTCACCGACCAACGTCACATTTGGAGACAAAAATCTCCAGTCGGTTGCTTGATAATCATATGCAGATCATAATCTGATTGGATGATGACGCAGACAATAAAATATTAACAAATATTAATTTTGATATAAATCCTGTCAGCAATGCGATAACCTTGTCATGGAAGCGCAGACACACACAAGATTTTAAGACTCAAGTCGGTGACAGCGACCAAGACTGTTTATGTGCCTGCACTCTTATAGAGCATGTACTCTTCAAATGAGATACCTAATTGACAAACGAACAGAGTTGCATCAGGTGTATTAAAAGAGTGAGTAACCCCAGCTCATCAGAAAAAACTGCTACAATAACGTTTGTAATATAGCTAATTCTAGAAAAATTTCATTTATGTTGATTTATGAACTAGAGGGTTACTGAATACCATATAAAACTATATAAAAATAGCCATTTTGTCCTCTAACACTCATTTGATGAAATTTTGATGAAATTCAATTATGAATGTACACGTGAAATAAATTCAAAAGAACAGCCCTATTTTAACCTTTAAAAGATTGTTATGAGGTTTTCTTACTATTTTATGTTCTAGGAGACACTGATAGCATCAAAATGCACTAACTAGACCTCATGATGCCAATACCACAAAAGTTGCTAAGGGCCTGTGCAATAGATAGACCAGACCACACCTACTTTTAGTTGAATTCCAAGACCAACAGAAATCTGACTGAAATTTGAAATTGGTGCTTATTGATGCTATAATTGTCCCAAATAGACATAACAAATTCAAAAACTTCTTTCCAATCCTTTCAATATTCACACAGTATTCTTATCCTTTTTGAAGTTCCATATTTTGTTTGATCACTGCCACATTCTGTTTGTCTCTTTCATGCCTCAGTCTTAAATTTTCTAGATCTATCACATCCATTTCTGAGGATTTAGTTTTAGGGGACTCGAGCAAGTGACTGCCCATTGGAATCTGACCTGAAACTTCGTAGGAATTATAACCATTGGGATTAGGTTTGACACTTGGCTTTGGAATTGTCTTTGAGTATTCAACAGCCTGAAAGTAAAATTATATATACCAACATTGTCAAGAAATGTCTAGAATCTTAACACTTGCTTTATCAGCTATTTTTACTCAATTGTAGTAGCTCCAGGTGTATGATTTTAATTCTGAAAAGATAATTCTGATTTATTCTTATACAAAAGTTCAAATAGGATACCTACCAATTGTCTTTTGCTAATCATATCATCTGTAGGTTCTTGTTTTCTAGGATAACTAGGTGGGCGTTTATGTACAGTCTGTTTCTTATTTCTTTCATTTACCATTCTAGCATAATCTGCTTGGCGCTGAAACTTTTCAATCTAAGGAAATAAAATAAGAACAATTGATGCACTTAATGCAACATGACACTGTTTACTAATAAGAAAAAGATAGATAGAAAAACAACCTTTTTACAAGGATTACAATTATGGTTTTGGCCTACAAGATCCGGTTTACCAGCTGGTCAATGACCAAACCACTTTCCTGGATTTTCCGTTTATATTTACAAAAAGGCTCATAAACAATGCACAGAATTGTACATGTTCTTCTTCGATATTTGCACATTTCAGATGACATTTGTGCTCTTTACTGTCTCGTAGACAAGCTGTAGCCATTTCTCATCTGATGACAAATTGCAGTGGAGCAACATGTCCAGCATGTGCAAGGAATGGCTTCATGTAGGCCATACTTTCAGCTCTGCTGACAATAAATCTTGTTGTCCAAACTAACCTTTTCTTTATGTGTTGTACTATCTATATCAGGACCAAGGCTACCTAGTCTAACTTCTTTCTGCATCTTACGATAATCTTTTAAATTATATATCTTATACCAAGGTTCTTCATTCTTCTTCTCTTTCTGTCTTCTGTATTGTACCACATAACTATCTTCTGGATTGATGGGCTTTGTTGGACTACTACCACTACTGGTAGGAATGGGTGGTATGACCTTATAAGGACTGGATACTGGTCGTCCATCTGGTAAATTTACAGGCTGGGAGTAGTCCAAATATTCTGGTGCCGATTCATAATCTCTTGATGAAGGATAATCTTGTCTTTGATCTGGATAATACTGCTGAATATAAAAGAAAAATATTAATGTTGGAACCCATCATAAAAATCAATTCATGGCATATCTTTTCCCTAAAAAATGTTGCTTTAAGATTAACTTATACTTTTTGGGCTTTTGGCAAATTGTTTTGGAAATGAAGTTTTGTATGGTGCAATGAAAAAGCCAAAAATGAACAGAGTTCACAGTACTTGTTACTGGTAAAAAAAGGTAGAAAAAAGGTCATCTAAATGATCTTGGTTAAAACAGTTTGTAGTTACCTCATAATCATAGCCATCATACTCTTGTTGGTAACCTGATCCAAGAGCTCCATAATCTGTAGATATATCATAAGGCGCTCCAACTGGATTTCCATAATCTTCAAATGCTTGTTGTTGGGAGTACAGGTTGGTTGATCCTGACTGAGGTGGTGATAATAACTTAAGGTTCACATCTACACTGATTCTTTGACCATCTTCAGTAACCAATTCACGAGAAATGGGTTCCAGTGACAAAGGTTTACGCAGTGGTGAATGGATAAACCCAGCTGGAGGAAGACTGTGGTTGGCTGGATCAAGTGGCTTTCTATTGGCAATTGGCAATCCACCGTCACTGGGAAATTTTGTGAGTTTTCCTTGCTTCTTTGGACCTTTTTTGTATGACAAATTGCTTGCCTTTTTTGCCCACAGTTCTTCAGCTGTAGTCTGTTTTTGGTTGAGTTGTGGTGAAGAAGCATAGCGTTCATCTGGTTTGCTGTTACTTACTGGAGCAGAATTGGGTTGTTTTTTCTTAGGCTTCAATTTTGGTTTGATGAACCTGTTCTCTAGTTTCATTCCTTCCTCCTTTTTAATCTGTTGTATCTCTTTATAGCTCTTCTTTGCAACTCTGCCATAATTCTTTCTATTATTTTCTATGTAGTCTACCTTGGGCTGTTCGTTTCTTGAGGATTCTTTTTGAGGAGATAAAGTACCCTCATTTGTTGGAGTTGTATCATCATCATAGATATTTTGATCATCTTCATCATAGCCCTGATCTTGATATGAATCATAAGAATAGCGATCTTGAGAAGCTCTACCATAGGGCACACCTGCCGCTGGTTGTGATCTTGGATCTTGGTTCATATAAGGGTGTGTTATTGGATCTTGGTTCATAACATGCTGTATTCTTGGATCTTGGTTCATCACAGGTTGTGATCTTTGATCTTGATTCGTAGCAGGATATGATCTGGGATCTTGGTTCACAACAGGATGTGATCTGGGATATTGATTCATAACATGCTGTGATCTAGGATCTTGGTTCACCACAGGATGTGATCTGGGATCTTGATTCATAACATGCTGTGATCTAGGATCTTGGTTCATAACATGATGTGATCTGGGATCTTGGTTCATAACGTGATGTGATCTGGGATCTTGGTTCACAACAGGATGCGCTCTCGGATCTTGGTTCACAACAGGATATGCTCTGGGATCTTGATTCATGTTCTGTAATCTGGGATCTTCATATTCATCATATTGATTAAATTGATGTTCTTGTCTTGGATACTGATTTATGTTAGGATTTGATCTTGAGTCTTGGTTGTTCATGGGCTTTGACCTGGGATCTTTAAAGAATTGTTCAGAGGGTGGGTGTATGCCTTGTTGGTTGTTTCTGTGTAGGTCATAATCATTTTCATTCTCTTGATAACCAGCAATGCCGACTCTGTAAGCTGGTGTTTGTGATGGGTGCTCACTGACAGGACCATATCTAAGATCTGGACTTTCTTGTATCTGATGATATGACTTGGCTTGTTGAGGCATGGGTTGCATGTACATATCACCCTGAGCATAATAGGATTCCTGACTTTCCTGTTGTTGAGGAAATCTTGGTTGGACACTTGGCTGTCGTGTTGGTGTTTGATCATTGTGCTGGTGATATCCTTGTTGATAATCATCCTGATACTGTTCCTCCCATGGTTCAACCATTGGATGGTGTTGATAAGAATTTGGTTGTTGAGCTCTTTGCTGCTGCTTCAATGGACTTTGATTAGGATGAATTCCTTGCTTTGAACCTCCATTGTGTGGATTGTAGAGATCTAAGGAGTCTTTGACAAAATTATTGTGAGGTGTGTCTTCAACATCTAATGAATCTCTTGCAAACTCTTCATCACTGTCTACTGGTAATGTTAATTTGGGAACACTCAGATCAGAGACTCTCTTTGTATTTTCTCCAATCCTTGTTATAAGATTCACCTGATAATTTGTTTCCCTTTCCAGTTCATCTTCATCATCAGGATCATACGAAGGTCCTGTGGGCAGTCTATGACCTAATCCTGGAGCTCTCTCTGGTAACTGACGAGGAGCAACAGTAAGTTCTGAAGGTTGACTCATTGCTGATCTTGTAGACTCAGATGGTTTCAGAACATACTGTCTACTGTTGTTGACTCTAGGATTGGACTCTGATTCATCAACATCCTCATATCTGTTTGAGTCAACATATTCAAGAGAATCCTCATAATGGACTCGACGACTCCCCTTACTCCCTTTCATGGGACTGACACTTTCTGGTGGTTCTGCAGGGACCTGCAAGTTCCTGTGTGTATCCTGATCATCACCATAATCATCCACTCGACTGCTGACAAACCTATACTCTTCTTCTTCAGCTTGTGTGAAAGTTGGTGACTCAATGTACACACGTTGATTTGGAGTCTTCTTACTGGTCATGCTTGTTTGACTAGTTGCTTTTATTGCTTTCTGATTTGTACCCTTTGTATCTGATCCTAAATCTACTCTAGACCTATTTGCCTCTAAACCACTAAAACTACTCACTGGTTCTGTACTATGCACTCCTTTCACATTAGACCAGGAATCCTTGGCGTCTAAACTATCAACGCTATAATTACTAATCTTTTGTGTTGGCCTTAATGACTCTTCTGATTCAAACTGAAGAGCATTATATGAAGTTTGGAGATGTGGAGAACCTTCACCTGAGTATCTGTGCTGATAATCAGAGGGTTCTGCTAAATAATTATTGTATGTTATAGCCTCTGAAGAGTTATTATTAGTATCAACCTTGGTTTTTCTTGAATTTACTCCCGTGCTTCTTTCATCCACAAGGGGTACTTGAGAGTTCGAAATATTCTTACGAGGACTGTAAGAATCAAAATTTGCCTCCTGCTCTGCTGTAGGCTTGATGCCAACTGCTCTTAATAATGCTGGATTAACTACGGAAAATACCTTACTACCACTGGGATGTCTGCTTTTAGCGCCACTTTTCTTATCTAAATCAGTCTCTTCTAATTCTGGATTTGGTAGGCCAACATATCTTCCATCATATTTATTAGCATTTTCTGAATTGTTTTGGTTTTTGTTCCTTTGACCTACATTTTTGGACAGAAACCTACTTTGTTTTAAGGATTCTTCAGTTTTATCTCTGAGAAGTCTCAGAAGATCTGAATTTTGCGTAACTATTCTACCCTGTTTCTCGGTTTTATTATCACTCATCTCCTGAACCACTTTGTTACTGCCATTTCAATGCTTCATAATATGAACTGAAAAGATAAACAGGAGACAGATATTATATTTACAATGGATAAGCTAATCACTCCTAAGAATTATAAATTTATTTTCCTATCAATCAAAAACTGTTTGAAAGTGTCATCACGTCTCAAGACATGCCGTCATTGGCAGCAGTGATGATGTCATATATATTAGTAGCCATGTTATTTATAATGGTTTGGAAGAGGCAATCTTATAATTTTAGTTTATATTGAACAGAGCAGGTCCCAGGGAAAGCAGATAATCATAAAAAAAGGTTGAAATTGAGCTTTTATCAGCACTAATTTAGGACTGACCATGATCTTTTAAAAATGGATTATGGGACATGCCTTTCAAATGGTCATATGTCAAGTGTTGGATCAATTCAGACACAGAGAGACTCAGAAGACGTGGAGTGGAGTAGACCTAATAAATAAGTCTTACTACAGTCTACCTTACGTCTTAACTTAGTGCGCTTCTTCCCTGAACCAAAAATGACAAAAAAGCCTACAAAATTGGACTGAAATACACGAAAGAGTACAATATATAAAAGGGTAGTGTGTTGTATAATGGAAATTGTTTTAAAAAGACTGAGGATCTAAATCTAGGCCTATATGAACGTCGCTTTTTGTATCAAATATGTTTACCTTAACACGACGCCATACATCCCTCAAATCCCGAATTGTTTACGTTGTCTCGGCAACATTCAGGTCGTTTCGTATATGTTTATCTGGCCATATGAAATCATTCTTCCGAATAACTACTTAGCATTAAAACAATTTATGTGGAAGCATAGTGAATTCTTTCAATCGAAATATTGTATTCTAATTACCCTAATTGAGGAGTTTTATAAGTATAACTAGTGTTTTTTTTACGAAACGTCTTAAATGCAGATCGAAATTAATTGACGAAATGGCTTCTTTCTCAGCCAATCATATTGCACTTTCATTGTTTACATCAAGATGGCGGAAGAAAATGACGAATATTTTCAGCTTTTGGAAGAAATTGACATTAATCAGTTAATGCTTTTGCAGGTACTTATAAATTTCGTAAACATGTATCGGTATGCTTAAAATAATAATGTCAAAAGTTTTCGCGATTATTAGAAGTGGGCAAACATTACTCTTGCTCTTGATATTTTTTGAAAATAAACTTATCTTGTCGCAGCTTGTTTTTGATTTCTAAATCGGGTTTCCTTCTGTCATTGTCAGTGATTCAGGTCGTTGGGACTGATAAGGAAAAATAATTGAAGATCCCGTGTTAGCCAGCAGGTTGTGCACATATGATCCTTCAACAGTTGGAAAAGTAGTAAATGCCACTGTCCTGACTCCTGGCCAATTTTTTCTCATTTCACACTGCATGGCATTGGTGACTTCATCAGCCCATTTGGTGCAGAAAAAGGAAAACTCTGTTCATTTCATTCCAGTTTGTCTCAGCAGTTATTGGCAAATAAGGATAAGTCGATACCAGTAACCAAAAATATATTGTTCATTACTACTAAGCCTTATATGAATTTATTTTTAGGCTTACATCAGAGGAACACTAACAAGAAGATGGCTGACAGACCTCAGACTTGAATACCAAAAAATTTGTCAAGAAATTGAAAGAAAAGATCTCAATGTAGAATGGCCATCAGAACAACCTTGTTTGCCAAAGATATCCAGCAAAAGACACAGAAAATCACAGAAAAGTTCAGAAAAATCCAAAGACATAAAATTTTCTGTTGAAATTCAGACTGATTTTGAAAACTTCTCTGAACCTAAAGACAATCCTTTAAATTCAGTTAGTGCACGAGGAACTGGAACTGTATCTGATCCTGTGGTCATTAATGATTCAGTGTTAGATGTCTGTAATCAAACAGACCGAGAACAGGACAGGCTGGACTCTTTGGACAGTATTCCAGTTAGAGACTCAGACTCACAGAGTCAAGCAGTACCAAGAGAACATTTGAGCATAGAAGAGACTTCTGATAAAGAAGAAAATTCGTTGGTGCCAAATTATGGAGAAACAAATGCAAAAGAAATACACAAAACAGATGCCAGTAACTCAGTTTTGTGTGATGTCACATCAGTTTGGGATGCTGAATTGTCATCATTTGCTACAGGTAATTATCGATTTAAAACCATCTTGCCATTAGGTCTTTCTTTATATCTTAAACACACCTATGTACATTTTGATATGATCCATTAGCAATCTTCTGTGATGCTCAAAAAATGAGGTAGGTTGCGTTTATATGGAGACATTAACATTTTTTGTATTTCAGAAGAGATCAGATTGCCAACAGAGAAGAGTGAACTAAAAGAATTGAGAAAGAATCTAGCTATGGAATTATTATGGATACAACAAGCTATTCAAAGTAGAAAGAATGTAAGTACCAAAAGTGCTGGTAATCATATGTTATTGATTGATTATTGACAAGCCTGTTAAATTGGTTTGTGTCTGACAATCCTTACAACAATATTAATCCACAAAACACTGAATTCTTTGATCAAGAATATGATTTGATTTCTTTAATAGAATTGTCTCTTTTTTGTTTCAGTACTTAAGACTAAAAAATCAGATGGGATCCTGAAGATATAAGGAAAAGTACTGATTCAAAAGAGAACCTTGTGAAATGAAATGAATGGAGTTTTACATCCTACTCTTCTGTACCTTATTTGGCTAATGAAGACGAGAGAGGAGCTTGGAGCCAGGGCCATGACTTATAACCTATAATTTGGTCAATGACATAATGTTGTATTTTGTTTAACTATAAAACACTATATAAAGTTTCTATTTATTATCATTATGTATCATTTACATACAACAAATAACATTTTATGTCATTAAAAAACGTTTCATTGCTGTCTTCCTTTTAGTCTGCTAGATTTAAACTGCTTGATTTCACTTTCTCCAAATAACTTTTAAATCTGATTTCCAAAATGGATCAGCATTACATAGAAGTTACTTTGTTCCCATAAATATGAATCAGGCAATAAAGACAAAAATTGACAAACATTTTCACTTATTGAATGGAATTTCAGGAATATGAAGTGCTAGACAAAATCAGGCAACACCAGAAATCTGGCCTTGGAATAAGCCTTTCAAACATTGTCATTATTATTTCTATGGAATTTTATCCTTCTTCGGAATATGAGGCACATAACAAGGATTTGTTAATCCTATATTGAGTTGATCTTGTGTCTAGTTCCCACCAGTTTATGTAGGCAATGGTATAGCATTAGCTACTAATGGTAATATTTCCTCTGTACGTAACCTCCAATGTTTAATATCTTTAGATATCTCACACCAATATTCACCATGATGAGGTTCAGCTGCCGTACATCTTTTTAATATTTCATTTTGACTTCTCTGAAAATATAATTCAATAATGCAAAATAATTAACCCAAAAGAAATGATTTAATGCTCAGACAAAGTGACATATTAATGAAAAGAACTGTTGTATTTGAACCCTTGAATGTAAATGAAATAAAAAATAAATATACTGTAAATTCCAATTTAAACTTCATTTGAAAATGGCAGCATTAAAAGGTCGCTCTTGTGTAATCTAGCAGTTGGAAATCTTTTGAAAAAAGCAATCTACTATACCTCATCTCCATGCATTAATTCAAATTTATAAAAATTAGCCCAGGTATCACCTAGATCAGGATCTATTTTAACTGTTCTATTAAACCAATCTCTAGTTTTACTTAGTTTTCTTTCTGTCCAAAATAATCTAAAAATAAATATACATACATAAAACATGTGAAACAAGCACAAAACCTTTCTATTTAGAGCTCTAGTTCCAATATATGTCCTTCCACCTAAAACTTGCATGAAAGAAAGCACACTGCCTCCCGACTTGAGCTCTAGTTAAAATATATCCTCCTCAAAATAAACTCATAGCCTCAAATCTAGAGCTCTAGTCATATGTTTTAATGTAATGCCCATAATATAGAGATATTTTAAGTGTAATACATTTTTAAAAATATTGCTAAAATATTGACTGTTATATATGGATTTTGAGAATAAAAATCGTGAAGTTCACAAATTTGAAAGTGTTACCTAGAAGCTGCTAATAACACATTAGGATCATGTTCACATTTTCTCAATGCATCCACAGATTTTGTTTTTCTCTGAGGTCGTGGTTCCATAAATATAGCTTCTGCCCATAATATACCAGAGTTAGGACATTCTTGTAGTGCTACCATAGACAATACACAGAAAGTATTAGACAGGGCCATATAACTTTTGGACTTTGACCTATAGATTAGTGCATGTTCAGTTTTCTACTTTCTAAATTTAAAGGCCATGATTCACCATTTTCTAGGGTTGATTTGGGTCTTAAAAAGAAAAGAGGGGTCATCATTTTATCTTCTTTATGTGGATAATTGTGGTCACACATTGATTTGAAGAATCAAATTTCAATGGTGATCTGTGAACATTATTACTGATTAGCTTTGTGAAAAAATTCCTGTTTTTAAGACTAAGGCACGATAAGTCAAACAGATGGTGCATCTGTCCCTTTAATATGCGAATCGAATACAACAACAGCAAATGAACCTTCTGAAACACATAATAGTCTTTCCTAATAATCTAAATTTAACTTAAATTTCAGAAAGATTTGTACCTTTAGCCATTAATGTAGATGCTATATTTCTTAATCCAGCTCTATTTTCAACTCTTACAGCTTCCAACCTGTATTAAATTATTTAAAAAACTAAATAAAACCAGGTAATAATAATAGCTTTTAATAAAATTGAAATAAAACATTAAGATACTCAATTTGTGAAAGAACAATAGGTCAAAGTGTTTCAGTCTTGACAATTTACTTACCAAAGTTCTGGACATCTTGGATTTTTAAGTCTAGCTTTTTCCATGATAGATCTCGCTTTAGTCAAATGTCCTAATTTCTCTTCTTGTCTAGACATTAATAACCATAAACCTGTTGATTGTGGACATTTTCTTAACTAAAATCAAAAAAACATTGATGTAACAATCCTTGACTATAGATGTATATGAAATAAATTGACATTTTTGATGTTCAATATGACTTAGATGTGGCGCTAGATTGTTGAGCTCAATCAACAGTACATAGACATAATTCAAAATGGCGCAGAATGGAACAGAAGTGTAAAATTGAATCTAACATATCTGGTCCTATATCTTCCCAAATGATGCCTAGAATTGGAACAGACGGCCATGGTAAAGAACTTGCAAATAGAGCACCACCCACGTGATATTTGGATTAGGGTAAATTGTGTAACATACCAATGCTACAATCAAATATGGCTGCCAATTAAATGCTGATAGAAATGTGCAAAGAACTTACCCCCTGATTATAGGCTTCCTTAGCTTCCTCCATTTTACTGGCTTGTTGTAATATCTGACCTTTCATCATCCATAACTACAATACAACCCAATATTAATAAGATGGTTTAGAGCATTAGACTTGTGACTTGCTATCGAATTGTTACTAGTACCCATGAAGCTTTGTAGACTTGAAGATGCCATGAGGATGGGACCCATGTTGAGATCTAGTGAATACAAGGCCACATGCCAGATACTGTTTCTTAATTCAAAACTTATCCGAGATCTTTTGGATATAATCCTACACACATTAATCTGAAAAAAACTGTGGTCCTTAAGGGTAATATAGGTCCTCATCCTTACTTAAAAGGCCCTTGTGTATTTAGAGTTTACCATAAGAGGCTATGTCAAATAAATGTGCCCTTTATGTTAATTAAGGAACTACAACTGCAAGTTTACATGCTCATCGATTAGTAATACCTTAGCAAAATCAGGATAATGTGAGACAGCATCATCTAATAATTGTTTAGCTGTAGATATATCTTGTAGACACCATTCTAACTTTACAGACTTCATAAATACCTAGAATATATCAAACATCATTATAAATACATTTCTTTAACAATACATCTCTTTGAACTCTTTCTGAAGGTCAGTTCCAAGGTTAAGTCATCTTTATAATTATGTTAATCAATTGAATGAACTCAATTTAAGCTACCTGTATCATTTTATGAAAGAAACTTTATATTCTAGTCACCTATGAAAGAGCACTAAACGGCCCAAACACATATTCTTGAAACGATCTTAGAGCTAGGATATCCTAGAAACAATGTAAGAAGTTAAGAACCTAGGACATGCAGGCACTAAGATTGTTTTGAGAATTGCTAGCTTTATAAAAACAGAAACGGTTGCTAAATTCTTTCTCCTAGTGTTTAACAATTTGTGGGTTTTTTGGTTATTTTTTCGGTTTTCTCATCAATGTCAGTGGATTAATCCTTGTTTAATGAACTTCATAAAGATTTGAAAAACGGTACAATTCTAATTTTTTATTGTTACCTTTATATCTACCTTCATTTTCACTATGATATAAATATTTCAAAATATACCCTAAAAATTGGTGTTCACTGCATTTTTAAGTAGAAAATTTGATTATTTTAAAATAAAGCTGAAAGACTGTTAAATAACTTACTCTAGCAGTAGGAGCACTAGCTCTAGCTTTCTGTAATAGACGTCTAGCTCTTTCAAACTCATTATTTTCACTCTCTAATTTAACAGCAGCTAACCAGATCTCTTCACTGTTAGGATTAGCTTGAAAAGCTAGAGCTAGAATACTACGTGCTGCCGGTACATCACCCTGAAATATATTGTCATAAAATATTGAATCTGTTATTTAACAGACATAGGAATTTGTTTTCATTACACAGAAAATTGACATGGAACAAAAAACCTTCTGTAATATCTATAGTTCTAATGGATCTCATGGGCAAGAAAACTTGTTAAATTTCATTCGGATATCAACTTTTAAAATTTGAAAATTACTTACAGCCAGCCATTTTGATTTAGCTCCCATCAACCATAAGACTTCTGCTTTAGGACAATGAGCTACAGCACGTTTTAACAAAGCTTCTAAAGATTCTCTGAAAAACATCATTTATGATTGCAAACGCAAAATTCAGCATCCAAAACAGCTAGTCATGAGGACTACAGAGCAGCAGATGCTTAAAGTGGATCTCTAGATTCATTCCTTTATTTTAATGGTCTTGATGGTTGTTTTTTGTCTTGCTATGTGTATAATTTGATATATCATGTGGTTTAGTTCTCCTGCACCTGATACAAATGTTTAATAGAATGTATCTGAATTCTTGGGTTTTGGCACCTTTCCACACTATTCAACAAACTCTCTTGGACACAATTTTCAAATTGACCCTCAAGCAAGATATATCTTAATTTGATTTAAAAGCGAATCTCCTTATCATTATTGAATGTAAAGAGGTGCTATAAACTATAACAGTATATTCACCTTGAACCATGATTCTTTTCAAAATAAGCAGCACGTAACCAAATACTCTTTTTACTGGGGAACACTGTCAGAGCATGGGCATAAATAGCACGAGCACATTCATACGCTTGATGAGATGCACACTGAAATCAAAGAGGATATCAAATTATAACTCAATTCATAGGTTATTGATTTAATTGTAGACAAACCTAACATTCAATTTCCATTCTGTAAAATGTTATGCATGGCTTAGATTAGTTAAATTGAGCTCTATCAGCTGATAAAGAAAATGTTTCAAACAACTATAATACCTACAAACACAGAAGTGTATAGTATCTCTATTACTATCAGAATATATTTCAACTATACACATGAAAAACAAATACAGGCAAAGTTTTGCCTCAACGAATTAAACAGAATGCTTACAGAATCTGCATCTTCCATCCAAGTATGTTTTCTATCTTCTTCTTCTACCCCTACACTGATAACATTACGGCTGAAATATATTTATATTTCAAACAAATAATGAGGTGTATTCACAAAGGGTCAACTTTGTTTAGACGGACAAAAACTGAAAGAAACCTTAACCCTTTCAACCCGAGCAGCAGGTATACCAGCCGTTACTAAGTGAATTCATACGCTTTTATTTTTATTATTTGGAGTTCAGGATGTATTACATTATATTTCATTTACACTCAGGGTTCAAGGGTTAATATATCATTGAGCTAGTAAAGAAGGCAAAAAGAATGCCTCTGAGGCTCTTTCTAAGAGGATTTTTAGACTCTGTATGTGTATCAAAGAAATTATAGCTTCTATTTGCATCTTTACAGTCCAATTGATTATGACATCACTATTACAAATTTCGTTATCAGATATACATAAACAGACTTTTCAAACTGACAAAATTTAAAGTAAAGATAGAAATCAAAACTTACATAATGGACTGACAAGTTATAATACTACCAGATTTCTCACAATCTTCACCATCTTTAATCCATTGTTCTCTATTAATCTCTACCATATTACTTCTCAGTGAGTTGATAGCTGACAACATATAAAAAGAACATGGCTTTGAACATTTAATGAATATACAACCATTAGCTATGTAACTCTCAAAAATATATATTTGGAAACCAAGAAGACTCATTAATGCTTGGGTCAATCCCTGCATAAGGTGATTTGAATTTTTCAACCAGGCTACCGATCAGTCTCAAAGACTGAAGGGGGCAGTATGGAATAGGGTAATTCAGATGACAGCCCTTTGACAGTTGTCATCTATTTCCAGTTTTGTGGTTAAAATTTTCCTATTGCACATTGCATTATCTAAAGCAGGTTTCAACAAAAACTTGATTAATAATCTTACCTCTGTCTACAATTTTCTCCACCATAGCAGTATTACCATTAGCTTCCTCTAATTTAGCAGCTGTTATCCAAATCTGTCTATCAGTTGGTATATTTTCTCTGGCTTTATTTAAAACTTTACGAGCATTTTCATAGGTTTCTAACCTAGCCAAGGCTAACCATAACTATAACAAATAATGATACCACATCATGTAACAAATTGAATGAGTCCTAAAGTGTAGTTTAAATTTCATTGACTTTGCGACAAATTACAATGTCATTCTCTTGCAATTTGACTAAGAGTAAAGTAACCATGGAAACAACATTGCCCTTCAAAGGAACCCATCATAATACAAAAGGGTTGAAACCTTTTGCTAATTAAAGAAACAGTTTACAAAAAGGGCCAGGTATGCCTCTAATTTCTAACGAAGTCAATGGTTGCTATCAGTAAGGCATAAAATTGGGACTAAAAGCTTACCTCTACACTAGTAGAACAACATTCTACAGCTCTAGATAACATAATTCTAGCATCTTCTTCTTCTTCTAGTTCTACAGCTGTCTTCCATAACTTCACAGAATTAGGAATCTGTTCTAAAGCTGAAATATCAGAAAATATTGTTTAATAAACCTTTAAAATATATTTCTACTTTTGGAGCCAGGAAAGCTAGCTTCACTATTGCTAAAGATGCCAATAATATCTATAAAGGACCTTTGCGATAGTGCTCATAAAAGGTTTAGTTCAAGTGAAATTGCAGAACCACAAATTGGAATGGTGCAAATTGATGCTATCAGTGTCCACTATACACATCTAAAGGTTAGAAAATCGCCTTTAAAATACCTTTTCTAAACACTCTTTTCTTAGCCTTTAATTCAGGTTCTATTTCAGCAGCTTTAATCCAGACTCTAACAGAATTAGGTAGATGTCTTACAGACTGAGCAATAACAGCCTTAGCTTGATCACCAGGCTGAAACAATTTATACCAAAATATTAGATACGAGTTCTAGTCATGTAAAGCCTGAATGAATGTTTAATTAGTAAAACATATGAAACAACATCACTTTTGTATTAGTTTGAAAGGATTATGGGATGACTTCATGAGCCAACAATTTTGTCATATTCAATATCATGTTCTTGGTGACTCTAAAAGACTTGCCTAGAGTGGTCTAATTTGTTGACCTGCAGGAAACTGGATGTTGGAACTTAAATGTGAAAAGTGATAATACTGATATCTGAAATTGAGTTCTATCAGACGACAAAGCAGATTATCAGACGACTTTATCCCATAACTGTTGATTTATCTGTATTTACCAGTCAGGTCTGATTGAAGCTTCAAAATAAATGACTGCAATTTTGATCTTTTAGATATTTTCTATGCAAATGAATTTTTTTAATTTTTCATGAAAATTGGTACAAGACCTAAATCTAATTGATTAAAATGTCTGATTGAGAAATTCTAAAGAACAAACCCTGCTTTATTCCTCAAAAATTAACCCCAAACTCACCATTAGTCTAGCAGCTTCTAACCAAACATCTTCAGATTTAGGACATTCTTCACATCCTTTCATAATCAAATTTCTAGCAGCTTGAACTTTACCAGTAACTTCTTCTAACCTAGCTGAAGCTATCCAGGCTGGAATAATATTCAATTCATGTTATATACTGATTACATTTTATATCGCTAAAAGCAAGGACACATCAGAATCAAGGTAACCATTTTGAAAATCTTTCTTAAAGGGACAGATGCCCCGTTTTTTGGACCAATTATTCTTTTGTCTCAAGAAACAGGAATATTTTAGCTAAGCTAATGGAAATTTGAATGTTCAAATCCATATGCGTCCAGAATTATTATTAATATATTATCAAAAAATATATCACTCGTCAATTTAACATACTGTGTGATATATAGAAAAGACATATATAGAAATAGTGAGTAAATTTCCTAGTTTGAAGTAGTTAGGAAGGAATTATGCGATTTTCATACATTTCTAATACTTCTGAAGACTATTTACATGTATTCAAGACTAAAATTAACCTCCCAAAATGACACACTTGTCCCTTTAAAGTTTAAGTAGCTTAGCTCCTTCCATTAGGATAATATAATATTTATGACGTCACTAGAGGGGGGAGCTATCGGAAGCTACTATTGATATCTATGAAGTTCCCCTCTAATGACGTCATAAAATGCAAGAACCACAGACATCTGATTGAAAATTGGAATGGTGTAAATTGATGCTATCAGTGCCCCATACACATAAAAAGTTTAGAAAACCTCTTTACAATCACTTTCAACCTAATAGTACAGCTTATGTTTATATTTTGATATTGTTCCCTGAAGTACACAAATACAATAAGCAAGTTTTACCTGGTGGATGTTTAGGATTGGTCTCTCTCACTGATTTTAATAATAATCTAGCTTTTTTAACATCACTGAAAGAAACAAAATAGGCATTAATCAACTTAAATATATCTTATTTTAAGAGGCTTCAAGAAGCAGCATTTTCTGATTTTTCACAATGGTTTTAACCAAATAACATCACATAATGTTAACAAATACGCTTTTAATCATTTGACATGTAGTTAATAGTCTAATGACATTTCATTCATACACAGTGTTCAAAGAGTTGAATGTTAGATCTCAAATACAGTAAACTTACTTGATATCTCCACCATGTGTAGGTAACATAGACTGTAAATCTGTTAAATAACCTTTAGGATCTACTACTGTCTGTCCTGTTACAGAATCAGATACCTAAAACAAAATCTACATGTTTCAGGTTCTATTTTATCATTTCTACATTGCTCTACAAATGATGTATAGAGCATTATTTTTAATATACAGAATTATTCAGGAAAGATACTAAATATAGAGACCAGCAGTTTGTTTTTTAGGTAATAATTACAAAATCCATTGATAGCAGAGCTGAAGCCTACACAAATAAATTCAAAACATTTATTCTGTCTTAAACTGAAAAACTTTCCATCATTTATGCCCCCGAGAGCACTTCTTTAAACAAACATTCATCTCGAAGTGTAGACATGAGAAAAACTTTTACTTGTCTAACTTCAGTATCAACACAGGCTGAAAAAAGGTCAATTGTCTGAAGATCGCATAGCGTGAAATTCTGAGTAACAACATGATCCAATGCTGTTTTAATATTTCTTTAATAGATATACTCAAAATAAAGAAGATTGCTTGAGTTCAAAAATATATTTGTTCTAGTATTTCTACAATACATACCTGCGTAAGTTTAATATCCATCAGAGTGTTTCTAGCTTGTCCTATTTTTCTCATATCAATATCACTACTAGAGGTAGAGAAACCTGGTGTTATAGTACCAAATGGTGATGTTAACCCTCCAAATTTCTAAAAAAAACAGAATCAGATACAGTTGAAATATATTTAATATTATTCATTCTTCACAGCGTCTATGAGGCTTTTTAGGCAAATGGAGGGATGCAATCAATACCAATGTGCAATGGGGAAAACTGTGAGTCACTTAGGCCTGCATCACTTACAGAGGTAAACTAGCCTGAAAAGAGATATCATCTTGACCAATGTCTTAATTCAACCCCCTAACATCAAGGTAAGTGATTAAGTGACTTAAGTTTCAATTATTCACTTGATTTACCTGTTCTTGTGCTGACAAGTTGGTATTCATGGATCCACTAGAAGCAGCTTTAGCTAGTACACTATCAGGTACTGGTGTAAACCTATACAAAGTACAAGATAGATTGATTCTTAATTTATCATAATATAAATATATGTTAAGGAGAAGTATTGATATTCTAATACCACATTACAGCATGTTTTGTGAGGTTTTATAGCACAGTCGGTTAGAGGCGTTGGTTCTCTACATGAGGCATTGGTTTGCTTGGTTAAGTCGAGCAAATGTCGGCTGTGAGTTCCAATCTCCATTGGCGTGTGATAGTCCGATGACCTTGAATAAGTCAACTTCACTCATAATTCCAGTGGACCCAGCTGTAAATGGGTACGGATAATCCAGGAAAGATCAATGCCAAGAGGTCATGTGGGATCTTGAGGAAGAAAATTTCAAAAGGTGAGACATTTAATTTTCAAACAATACATGTGTTCGTGAATAGAAGTTAGAAGTGAAATGGAGTTTTACATCCTACTTTTTTTTTATATTTTGTTCAAAAAAGGAAAAATCTTACTTTTCAGCTCTTGCATTTCTTTGTTTTCTATTTCTAGCATCACCTACTTCAGGTAAACTCATCCATTCATCTGAACTTACTTGAGCTAAATCTCTCTGAAAATATCAATATTTAGAGATAAACACAATGAAAGCCATAGAATATTGGATCTTTTCAAGTCTACTTCCACTTTCATCCATTAATTAGTTTAATTCTTGACACAAACCCATTAAACCAAGCTGGAAGAAGTTTGGTGTGCAGTAATTTCACATTTTTTTGGGGGTCTATCTTTGGGTTCAAAATTTGTGTTTCCAGGTCTTGTGTTCTTAACTTTGTTATTCTCTTGATTGTCATCAATAATTATTGACCAAAACATCATCCATATCATATTACAGAGGCATATATAAACACTTTACACTTTACATAGAATACTGCTAATTGTTTTTGTTATTTTTCTATTATATGCAAGCACAAATTTTCCAGCTGTCTTGCCGGATTCTATGCTGTCATATGCATAGCACTTTCCAATGGAAAGGTTCAAATTGGTCAACTCTACCTTTAAGTCTGAAAACTGTTGTTGAATTTTAGGTCTTTCTTGACGAAACTTCTCTAATTCTTGTCTCAGTTTCTCTTCTCTTCTTTCTTTCCTTTTCTCATCCATTCTCTTATCTACAGCCTCATAAATAGCATCAGCTTCTTCATCATCTTTATCATAGGGATCTTTACTACATAAACTACCTCCATAACCTGCAAACTGGTGTACAACAAGAACCACTTAGACATGGTATAAATATATTAAACTTAGGTGTTCACTTAAGATATACTAAGGCAGTGCTTCTCAATGGAGGAGGAATTGTCAGGGGGTAAATGGGGCATGTTAATGATATTATGAACGTGGTTCATTGAAGATAACTGAGTGAGGTGATCTACGACTGAAATTGACATCATACACCTCTTGAAAGAAAATATCTCGATATGTGGAGTAAGATTTTATATCCATTTGAGGTTAATCTTTGAATACATTTTTCCAAGTGAAATACATGTACTGAACATGGAAAACCCACTCTCAGTCTGAGTCAGAGTGTCAGATAGTTTTGCAAGGTACAGGCTCTATTTTGTTTTCAAGCTACATCTTAGATGATTTATGTCAATGTTAGAAGAATCAACATTTTTATTCTTTATTTTTTGGATAGCTGAAGATCAAAACTCATAAATTTGACAAAAATAAAAAAAAAATATAAAATTTCATATGTTATGTACTATGTTCAATATTTTTTCACCCCCACAGAGACACACATAATGACTTACTTCATCAAAATTTGCTTCACTTAAATCTTCTTCCTCTTCTTCTTCTTGTGTTCTACTCTTTTTAATTGGTACTGGATGTCGATCATCACTATAAATATATGTCAATCAATAGCAAACAAAGGGGATTCCAAGATTGTGCTTTGACTTGTTTTTAAATTATTTAACATGCACCCTTGAAGAATTGTTCCAGGTTTTCTCACAGAAAATATCAATAAATGACCTTTTAGACACAATTGTTAACTCGTCATCAAATCATCCACATTATCATTTACGAAAAAACCGAAGGCTGAGGAGTAAATTATAAATGTAGGCCTACCAATATTCAATATGGTGTTAATTTTTTTGCCTTAACTAGCACTTAATGTAACCTAAATTAGCCTAAAGGTGTATAGGCGTTAGTAACAAGTTAACTTACGTTGCATCATCTGCATCTCGAGCTGGACCAATATCAGATCTAGTTGTAAATCCAGTAGCTCTATAATAAAGTACAAACAGATGAAATTTGTTTCAATCTCAGTAATAATAGCATAACAACAGGATAGGGTCTACCAATGATTCATATTATTGAATTAAAACTGATGTTTCAGAAGCTATGCCAATAACATTGTATATACAATTCTTAATTAGAAGGAGGCGATCAAATGAACAGTTAAATGCTATGCTTCCGAATTCATGTATAAAGCAAGCCTGGGAGTTGGGAAACCACAGACACCAATTCATTCGTTGAAAAGGAGAACTTTACAATGGAAATGATAATAGCTAGCGCTATGGATTGTAACAAGTAGAGTATAAATGATTTCATACCCTCTTCCTAATCCAGGAACATAACCTAGAGGAGCTGGTAATCCAATAAAACTTTTCTTTTTCTTGCTAACTAAAGATTGTACCGACATCTTGAACGTAATATTATCAACAGAACGGATTTCCTTGCATCTGATTGGTCAGCAAAGTTAGAAGCATATTTAACAATTTCTTATTCGAACACAATCTTAATCCTGAGTTTGCAAATTAAACTACTTAATCGACTGAAAACGAATTAAATATAACAATATGGAGTACAAAAACACAGTTATATTTAAGTTTTCAAATTTCGAGACACGTGGCTTGGGGTCTGATTCTTGAAAATATCGAATATAGATAAAATGAATTTTAGCTAACTTCAGAAGTTGACCATTTTGGGTTCTAATATTAGAGAACTATCAAAATGGCAGCCCCCATGAAGCCGCAATCTCTTTCTTGCGTTTCATGGTCCAAATATTTGTTTTATTTTGCAAGTGAACATTTAGACTTCAGACTTGCTGTAAGTTGTCTTTGTTAGTTAGGGACCCATGACTGTCAAAACTGTTGATTGAGTAAGACATTGGGAAATTGAATGATATTGTTGAACTGCTCTGAAATGAACAAAAAAGGCTGGGGATATTTGTCACAGCTGGCACTGGTGGCGATATATATTTGTTTATCACTTAACAATATAGCAGTATTCATTGTATAATTATGAAAAAGATTCATGACTAGTCCTATTTATCGTGTTGTGGTAGTAATTCTGTAGTCTTTAGAAAAAAAAAATATCACTGTGGTAAATATCCTCTGCCTTTAGCAGATTCATGAAAAGCTAAATCTTAAGGGACAGACCTAAAGACCTGTAAATATTTGAAAACTTTTCTAACTGATGTATTACTGGTTCCTTGAATTGTAAGTTTCGAATTCTAGAAAAATGTTACAAATTACAGAAATATTGAACTGGTAGAGCAATCAATAATAATTATATGGCAGCCTTTAACTTACTCTTTTATTGTATGAAACACTAGTCCAGTGAAAATATCAATATAAATATAATTTGTCAGATTTCAAGCATGAAATATGTGTAAAATTCGATATTTTTCATCAAAACTTATGTTCAAGTTTTCGGCATTTTCTGCGTTTTACCAAGACATTGAAGACTGAAAAACGAATTAATTACTAACTTTAGCAAAATAACAAAACAACTTCATGACAAAATTTTAAAACTTTATTCATTTTGATTGGGTTTACCTAATACTTTAGTTAAGAGATAATTATAACCTATGCAGTCCCTTTTCTTATAAAAGGAAATACTTCACAAAGAATGTGAAAAATTTACAATTAATTAATGTAGGCTAGGCCAAATTATATATTTTTTTATTTTGTCAGGAATTAGAAGCTATATCACAAGCTACAAAATCAGAAGTGAGATTTGATGAAGAGTCATATGATGTGAAGGTATGGAACATTTTCAATTTGAAGGCTTTACCAAATGATGGACCTGAATTTGTTGTCAATTTCTCATGTTTGTACTGCAACTTATAACTTATAAGTTATATTTTAATTTATTTTTGACATTAAATTCTTCTAGAATCCATTTCTGGTTGTTGAATCACCAAGCATTGAATGTATTCATAGAATTTTATCAAGATCTGTGCTACTTAGGTAAGTTAGTGATTTAAAGATTATTCATGTAAGTACTCAAGTTGATAAAACATGTTTTTAAATGATTGGTGTAGCCTACAAATGAGAACTATTGCCAACTATTTCTTTTAAAATGCAACCCTATTATAGTGAAAGTGTTTTTATCCCATAACAATCAGACTCATTTTGGTAGTGTGTGTTTTTTGAAGTGTTTCCAATTTTGGTTTTATGTGTTTGTTCGAAGTTCCTAGCGTCCAAATGATAGGAAATGAGTAATATTGGACAATAAAATCTTGGAAAAATATATTTTCTGAACTGGAAAGGCTATAACCAACATTCTCAAAATATTGTAGATTAACAGACAAGAATAATGACGTTTTTCTTTCTGAGACAAAGGGCCCTGGCATGTTAGTTTGTAATATCAGTTTATATTGGAAACAAACGTTAACTTGTCATCCAATAACCAACGCCCTAGCATGTTTAAAAGTTATATATATATTTTCTCATTTTAGATCTATCCACCAACTGTTAGCTCAGGGAACCTCTACAGAAGAACTCCATGAAAATGTTAGGAAAATGCCTAAAGATCTCTTGGTAATGATAAATTCTACTTTTGGGATCTCATTGATATTTCAAATATTTTTACTAAAGTTACAAGTTTTTGATTTTATTAATTCAAATAATCACTTTCTAATTGATTATTTTGTGTTTCAAGTATACTTGCAATGGTTAGCTTGCATGGTTAACTAGCAATGATATGTTTTTTCAAAAAATTAAAAAAAGCTTTAGAATTTCCCTTTTTTTGCTCCTGTTTAGTGAATCATTTTTTTTTTAAATTTGTATATTTAATCTTTTGTAGGATCCATATTCAAAACCTGATCAAACATTTGCCATGAGAGTGGAAACATTCAACAAAAAAATACCCCAAAAAGTTAAAATAGAAAAAATAAAGGTAGACCTATATATTTTTTAAATTAAATGCTTTTTTGTAAGAATAATGTAAACCTCTTTGGTTTTTAAGATAATTTTGTTTATACTTTACCATTAGATAGATATTTAAAATATTAGATTTTATTTTGAGATAATTTTGTTAATAATTCAGTCTCTAACCATTTTATACTGAGATAATTTTTTTCATAAATTTGTTTATAATTCTGTCTCTGGCACTTGATGTAGTAGATTTAATTTTGATAATTTTCTTAATAAATTTGTTTATAGAGCAGGCAGATTTTATGTTGAGATAATTTTGTTTATGATTAAGCCCCTACCACTTGATTTATTTTGATTTTATGTTGAGATAATTTTGTTTATGATTAAGCCCCTACCACTTGATTTATTTTGATTTTATACAGAGATAATTTTGTTATAATTTAGGCTCTACCACTGGCTGAATTAGGCTTTAAAGGGACAGTAGACTTAAAGAATCCTGATAATGAATTTCACCTATTTGAATATTATGGTTGGGATTGTAATAATGCACCAGATGAACCATATCACTCATATTTTGGAAGAAAGGTATGTAAAGAAAACAATGTTTTGATTTAAATATTATTCAATGCCCTTGTCTCTGGAAGACCTTACACTGGGTTTGGGAGGGTGGGGTAGGGACATATGTTTGCTTTTCAGTTAAATGGTGGAGGGAAGCATGTTTAAGTTAGAAGTAAACAACATGTACCTAAAGAACTTTTCCTTTTAACGCAATGTTGTTTTTCAACTATATTCTCCATTTGGAAGTGATACTTGAATTAACCTAGGAAATGTGTTTTGTAATGTGTTTTACTAGTAAAAGGTTATAATGCTTGCTTTTATTAACTTATTATCTGATTTGACAGATAGGTGAAGGTCAAAGAGATAGAATACAGGAATACCATCTACAAAAAAGACATTTTATAGGTAATAAGTATATTCGTTTGTTGATCCAAACAAAAATACATTTATGAAGTCATATATTGTGCCATATATTTGACAAGTTTTTGTCTAGTTTTAGAAACTAGCTGACTCATTCATACCCTATTGTTTCTGATATCTAAACAATATCTATCTAAAACAATACACCCAGGTTTTGGAAGGAATACAGGTACCTATATAAATACTTTAAACATTTGTTTTGTAGGAAATACAAGTATGGATGCAGGGCTTTCATTTATTATGTCAAATTTAGCTCAAGTTACTCAAAACTCTTTAGTTTTAGATCCTTTCGTTGGAACTGGTAAGATATATATTTATTATGCCTGAAAGGGGTCAATGAATTTAATGATAAATTGGTTAAAGGGGGGGAGGAGGTAGCTATGTTAGGGGTTAAAGTAGAGATCGACTCTATCAAGGAACTGGCTGTGACAGTGCCAAAGCTATAGATAAATTTACAATAGCATAAATACACATCTGTGGGAGCACAAGATCTGTATGGGAATTGCACAGCATATCAAGTTCATTTTATGTTAACTTAATTCATAATTAAATTATTTTATCTCTTCTCTTTCTCTTGTGATGGGTGGTTTTATGATTCAGCTTATGGTAATCATAAGTGACATTGAAATTAGATTGTTCAGTTGGATTATCATTAGCCAATGAATAAGGCATCAGGAGCTCCAATGATTAATAAAAAGTATTTGTATTGTTTACTATAGGAAGTTTACTAGTATCAGCAGCACATTATGGTGGTTATGTAATGGGAACAGAAATAGACTATTTAGTTTTACATGCTAAAGGTAAGCATGGGGAGGTATTAAAAAGAGGATCCTTAGCATTTGAGTGTAGTGGGGACACTTTAAGCATCTATTTGCACCATTTTGATTTGTACCGATTACCTGAGTATGACATCCCTTAAAATAGGGTCAAAATAGTATGCCCTTAGCTTTGATTCATAATAAATAGCCTTGAATGAAAAGGCAGATCATTTTTCTAGTCTACCTGATAACAGTTAAAACGCTATTTATCTATTTATAGGAAAACCTAGTCGAAGTAAACAGAAAGTGAGAGCTATTGATGAGAGTATACATGCCAATTTAAAACAATATGGTTTAGAATCTCATTATATAGATGTTATAGTAGCTGATTCTTCTAAACAAAACATGTGGAGAGATCAGTCTTATTTTGATGCCATTATAACAGATCGTAAGTGTATACCTGTATTTTGATAGGTGTTTGGGTATTTCTATGAAAGTTTTGAGAATCAACAAATACCTATTACAATCTCAACAATTACAGTTGACATTCTAATAAGATTCAAAGTTATTGCCGTTTTTTTTTAACATAAAATTTAAAAGTGCGCTGCAGATTTGTAAACCTTTGTCATGTTACGTTTGTAAAACGTAGTTAATACAGGAATTTACCATTCATTTAAAAATACAATAATTTCAGCACCATATGGTATAAGAGAACCAGCTAAGAAAATTCGAGCTGCTACAGAAGATTATATTATAACTGATGATATGTAAGTTGAAGGTCTAGTTCTCATATATTGGCAGTATTTTGGCAGACACTTGATTCCTTTTGCATTTTTATTTTGGTTGCCTTTGAGAACCAATCCTTTGTCCTCTTGGCATAGATCTTTCCTGGAATCGTTAACAGCAAGTCCAAATGAAATAATGGAGAATATTGCCTTTTTCATGCCAACAGACTACAGAGGTAGCCAAGCCAATGACGTCAATTTCATAACACTCTACCATATTGGGCTGTAGCCCATCCCCAAACTATTTCCTATTAATCTGTATTAAATCAATGTATAAAGCCAACAATAAACTTACTGAATTCAACTGTATTTAAATATGTACAAGAGTTCATGGTTTCTTTCTTTCAGATTGTCAGATTTTTATAGAAAAGATTGTCATTGTAGGAAAGATTGTCATTATAATTTTATAGGAAAGATTGTCATTATAGGAAAAATTGTCATTATAATTTTATAGGAAAGATTGTCATTATATTTTTATAGGAAAGATTGTCATTATATTTTTATAGGAAAGATTGTCATTATCCACAGAAAGAGCAGTACGAACTAACAGATATATTTATAGATTTATTAAATTTCGCAGCTAAATATCTTCAGTTATATGGTAGATTGGTATACTGGTTTCCTGTTATTAGAGCACAGTAAGTATACTGTTCTATATACTTGCTGCCACTTTGCAATTGGGTTGTCAACTCAACTTCCCTTCTAAGCTTCTTAGCTAATTTTTGTATATTAATGGTAAATAACAAACAAATTTGAGAGCTGGCTTTTACAATTTCTACATTTTTGGCATCATTCCTTAATAGTTTGCTACAGGGCCCTATCAAGATTCATTAATTTGCCATAATTGTCATTAAAATTTGGTCTTAAGATTGTAGAACAGAGTCCCCATGTGCTAAGAAGTTACCAAAGGAATTATTATTTGCTATCTATATTTGTAGATATTCAGAAAGCAATATACCTCAACATCCATGTTTTAAACTTATAGCTAATTGTGAACAACCTCTTAGTATGAAAGTAGCTAGAAGACTGATCACAATGGAAAAGATACATCCATATAAGGCAAGTACAGGTCATCTATGTTTAAACTAATATTGTTGGTTAGTTTGGTCACATTTGTCTATGACTTGTTATTTGAAACGCACACTCCCCTTTTTAAGGGACGCAATCGTCATACCATACCAATTGACCCTAGTGTCACAAACAGTCAGAAAATAATTAGTAATAGTGCTTACACCTCACCATTAAAATTTCAGCCTTCAAATCTGTGTGTCCAAAATTATCTGTGTTTGAATGTTAAAACGACTCCTCTTTGGGCAGTTCTAGAACTTATATATTCAAAACCCAAATCAACCCCCATAAATGGGGATCATGTCTTTTAAAGATTACGATTGTGAATAGACTAAACAGAGTACCTTATGAAATGTGATTTTGTATTTTCCAGGATGATACAGCAGAAGCCAGAATAGATATTGATCATTTCCAAGGGTCATTTCGACAAAAATATTTTCACAAAGAAAAAGAAATACCCAATAAAACCAATCCATCTTGATGAATTTCAACAAAGTTCTAAAGAAGCATTTTTAACTTTTGGTAGTGGATTTGTATTATGAAGCAGAACTGTGTCAAGTCAAAGGATCATATCATCAGAGATGATGTATAGAGAATGTTTTTCTGTGATACTTGATTTTAAATGTTTGTAAATATAAATTAAAGTTATATGTCAATCTCTTAAACTTTCAGTTTATTAAGGTTGCTATAAGTGTGGTATTAGTGTCAGATATCTCACAGGGAAGCGCTATTATCGCCAATAATCACCGAATCCAGATTTTATCTGAAATGTGTCTTTAGAACTCAATGTGATCGCATATGTAGCAGTGCGACTAGAATTTTCAATGGGTGCATTTTGGTTGCCAGATCGCTAATGGTCTGTCCATTGTGACAGGACTGTAAGTCAGAATGTGAATGCACAAAAAATGTCAAATCCTATATTTTCTTTAACAACTAATAAGAGCTCAAAATCTCTGTAAAATTTACAGATAGAGATGATTTGATCTCATATTCATTAGTACAGTGTAAATGATGATTTCCAATCTAAATCATACCTGTAACATTTCATTCTACTACAATGAAATGAAATATACATCATTACTCAAACTCTTGATTGATATTCTCAAATTCAATTATAACAAATGACCCCAAAAGTATTGCATATAGCTGAATTAGACTCTTTTAACTGACACAGCAAGCATTCAATTAAAAAAAAACTTAGTTTTCATTTTAAATAAACAATTTATTTACAATCAGTTGATCTGCATCACAGTAGATGACCCATCTTCTACATCTCGACATTTAGATAATAATAACTCTCTACGTATTTCATCTGTTATTTGATGATGTGTATGTAAACGTAGTAATTCCATTAATGCTTCTTTTTGTTCTGTGGATATATCTTCTTTATATCTCTGTACAAATGTTAATAATGATTGATGCCACAATACAGGTAATTCTCTTTTATCACTTCGAAATCTGAAATATGACAACAAACTTTAACTTGGCAACTTAAATTCAGAATATTTTTGGTGTAAAATACCCAAGAACATTGTCAAATACATGGTGTCTCTTAAGGGATGCAGGATGTGAGACATGCAGGAAGTGAGCGATTAATTTTATTAGGTAGAGCTCAAACTATGTTAAGTCCTATGTTAGAGAGTAGTTGCTCTAATCGAACAGTATGGAAGTGACATTCAAAATTTTCCCATCTATTTCCTACTTTGCCATTTTGAATTCTGTCTGCACCTACTATTTTTTCGGCACATGTGGAACAAGTTCTAAACTCTGTTCCAATGTTTCATTGAACGTTCTGTTGAGTCCATAAATCCCGAATGTGCAGACATGTGCAGACTTCACAATCCTGTGGTCCCTTGCTTAGCAGCAATGAGTTGAGCTCTAGTCAATTAATATCTGAATGATTAACTTCCTGTAATTACCCTAAATAATGATGTACCACAGCATCTACAACTCTATATGGTAGAGCATATTTCTTATCAAATAATGTCCTTAAAAATATACTGTTAGCTCCATTATAATTCATTTCTGCTATTTTCAAGATGGCCGCTGCTGAATGTAACATTGGTATAGAACACTTGGCTAATATAGATGACATAATAATGGCTTCCCGTAATGTACAATCACCAGCCTATAAAAATTATACAATTGACAATGCAAATACAAAATTTTACATAATTCTGCAGAAACAGAACACGACTTGTAAAAATGTGATACAAATTGCAAGTGTTTATTACATCGTTGAGGAAATTTGATTGGAATCCTAAAGGCAATTGTGAAGATGACAATGGTCAGAATTAGAAACATACGTTAACTTATGCCATGAACTTGGGACTTAAGGAAAAAATACTTATACTCACTTCACATAATGGTAATAAAACTCCTTTAAAAAATGCTGCTGGTTTGAATAAAGATTTTCTGATAGCCTGGAATAACAATTGAAAAATTTAGTTTGAAATTCAAGGACACCATCAATATTTAAACTAGGTTTGTATACCTTTCTATGCAAACTTAGTCAGTTAACAGTAAGCTATTATTTATGGTGGTAATAAATTTCAAACTTACAAACCAAAATGATGCTTATCTTTTTAAGAATTAAAAAAAAAAGTTTCTAGTCGAAGTATTGAGGACACAGATAAAGCTTCTATTTGCACCAATACAATTTCACTTCTAACATCTTACAGAGTTCACAATGTATTCCAAGTTTATCTGGAATCACTTGGCCTACAATGTTGGTCAAGAAATCATAACAGTGACAATGAAAGCTTATCTATCTTACTTCATTGAGATAGTTTGATACTTACTAAATACAAATGAAAATTTAATCTGTTATATTCAGCTATATCATCTCGTATTCTAGGTAATAATATTAGATTGAAATATCTGAAAATAATAAAGATTTCATACAATATCTGAACACAACAATACATGTACATACAGAGATATCAGTGTATCATACAATACATGTACATACAGAGATATCAGTGTATCATACAATACATGTACATACAGAGATATCAGTGTATCATACAATACATGTACATACAGAGATATCAGTGTATCATACAATACATGTACATATAGAGATATAAGTGTATCATATTTCAAACTACTGTCTTTGCACTTTTGTGGGTAAATTGAATTTTTAATGAGAATTAGAATATTAGCTTCAAAATAGTACTGTTAGTCTTAGAGTGGCTTTGTGTTGATAGAAATATAAACATTGAAATTATCATTTGCTTCTACAGACTGATATTGACAGTCAAAATAGTTATTTCTTATCAACTGGGTTTAAAACACAAACCTACCAACCTTTGTGCCATTTTTGATTTGAGATTAGCTGTAAATATTCTTGTAGCTTGATACATAGCAGCTGCTGACCAACTTTCAGGCTCTGTTATTTGTAAGATCTGGAACATACACAATAGTGTTGAGAAAATAAGAAGCAAGCATAGATTGATAGTCCAATTATACAGATACATCTCCTAGTAGCTTTTGATGCATGAATATCATTGTCCAACAGCGTACAAGGGCTGTCGACTTGACTGTTTTTTCCAGACATGACTGGTTGGGAAGCTCAAAAGTCTCAGGATCAATAGCCTCTGTAGTATATCAAGTATAGCCACCACACTCAAGAGAATGCTATCGTGTATTTAATATCATTAAGGTGCGGGCACGCGAGCGGTCTTGGTCTTGTCTTTAGTTTCAACGACTGGCATGTGCACACGTGCAGACACAAATCTCCAGTCAGTCGTTTTTGATATCCATGTGCAGAGCATGCAATTGAAAGGAAAAGGAATCTGATTTGATAATAACAGTCTGTCTTGCAGACAATAAAGCTATCAGAGACAAACCTGTTAGATATTATAAATCCTGTCGGAGACACGATAATCTTGTCACAAAGACAAGACAGTCCACCAAGAAGCATAGAAGGAGTTGAAAAACTGGGTGAAATCATAATAAATTTGCGTATTTCTCAATATCCTTTACTCAAAAACAAACATTACAATCAGACAGAATTTCATGAAAAATAACATTCAAAATATATTCTGAGGAAAATAAATTACTTATTAACAAATATTGCTATATTCTTACCTGTTCCCAATTACGTAAATTAGGTATAAATTTGAAAGCTTTAGGTAATTTACCACTACGATATTTAACTAAGATTTGTTTAATAGATTTATACATTCTGGTTATTCTATTGTCTATCTTCTCAACATGTAAATCAGATCCCTCTACAAATACAAATAACTAGAAATGAGATTGTTATATATATAATATATATAACAATGATGCTGACTTGAGTGGCCAACATAGAAAAACCCTCCAGTTCATAAGGTCAGAAGTCAACCAAAAGAAAAAAACTTACGTGATAACTGTGATTTTATCTCTGTTTGTTTCTCTGTCAGTTTCTCCATAATTATATCTGCTAAAGTACGTTGAACTGGAGGATTTTTAGACATAAATAATTCCAAAGCCTTTTCATCATCTGGATTAATTTTCTGAAATAAGTTATAAAGTAAATTTTGAATATAATTCCCAGAAAAACAAAGGCTTAGATCTTAAAGGAAGCAATATATTTTGACAAAATAAAAGAGCCATAATGACCTTTTCTATAAGTTCTTTTACATTGCCGAAAATATATACCTTTACAGATATCTAGATAAAATAAAAAAAACCCTGAAACATGTTGTTACTAAGACCCATTAAAAGGTGCAAATAGTCAAAGCCAGTGAGCTGGGAAAGGAACACATAAAGAAATGAAGATATGGTTGTACACTTACAATTTCTTCACAAAAATCATCATTATCAGATGGTGCATTATCATCAGAATCATTATCATCATCATCAGATCCATCTCCTAATGATACAAACCTTATACCACCAATATCTTTTGGTCTAAAAATACGAAATCATCATTATCATCAATGTGTTCTAAATTTCATGAAGAATACTATTACTGTAAGATTGCTGAATGGTGGCATGAAAGGTACAAATCTCATGTAAGAGAATTGTAGTTTATGTAAAAATTTATTTACTTTTTGATTCCATGTTCTTCTTCTAATTCCAACTGTTGAGCCTTGGCTTGTTTTAAAATTTTTCTTGATAATTTATCATCAATAACCTGCAATAAATAAAAACTTTTTTTTTTCAATTGACATTTTAACCAAATATATATGGAAGGTGTTCAGTCAACACATCTACAGAATGGGACAACTCATCTCAAAATCAGACTTCTAAAAGTATCCTGAGCCGATTTAGTTCTATTTCTGCATAATTTACCAACCAAACTTTTCAATTTAGATATTTGCATTTACCTGTGATGTCAGTGTACAATTGTTTTAGATTTAGAGTTTCATGTAGAAAACATTTTTGATGATTTTCCATCCTTTCTGTACCCTTTGTCCATAAAGGTTCAGAAATTATTTTTAAGTTACAATAAAATGATGCAACATGTAGAAACAAGTGTTCTTCCAATTGTTCATTTGAATGATTCAATCTTCATTAATCTTTAAAAGTACAAGAGATTCAGAGTAGCAAATGAAACTAGTCAGGGATAGAGCAGGGATAAGATTACTTTATCAGCAAATAGAGCTTTATTTCAGATATTGGTCTAGTTTTTCAGCATTGGAATCTGATTCTCTTGCAATAAGCAATTTCAGATTTTACAAGGCTTGTAAAAGATGAATACATCCCTTTGATGTAAAAGAACTAAGTAAGGTGTATTAAAAAGAATGTTCTGAAAGACTGTTTGAACAAGTTATCACATAGATATCATTTGGTGACAAATTTAGAGATAATTTGAAAATTTTAGTTTAAAATTATAAACTTTGTGTACCGGTACAAAAAACTCAGATAAAGTTTGAGAAAGATAACATATTGATATGAAGTTGAGATTATGTATCAAAATAGTTTACACTAATCTATTCAAATAATGATGTAGCTATATTTGAGATACTCAGCTTTTTTGACCTTATCACAAGGAGAAATCCTGAACTGATTAGATCCATCATATCCCCTCCCCCAAAAAAACTGGGAACATTTTCAAAGAACCAAAGAAAAGCACTCAAGCACTGTTGAAGATCACAAAGATTAAATTATTCATTTAAATAAATACCAGAATGTATAATTTTTTGTAAAATGTTTGAATGAATGATAAACACAATTTTGGTCTACCTTGTTTCAATTTAGTAGTTAAACCTTTTTTAGGTACTAGGGTAATAAATATCTATGATAGCACATGATTATTAAACTACCAATCAATTCACAGTTTTGACAATATGGGCAGCTCACCTCTATGAACACTATTGACTAGTACTAAGCTATTCGGATAAAGTTAACCATAATCCCATCCATTCATTTATAAGAGGCATAGTTAATAGAACAATGCAGCATATTATGTAACCTACCTACCTACCTAACCTACCTAAGTCCACCTTAGTAGAAACAGCAAAATCAAGCTACCAACAAGACAGATCAGATTTGGTGGATTGGAGATAAAAATAAAAGTGAAATACATAAATGTTTCTGCATTTGCAAAAGCCTAGGGCCTACAGAGAATTTTTTTCAAGGGATCGTAACAGACGTTGTTTCGGACTACATCTCATTCCATTCAACTTTCACATGTTATGATAAAAATTGTTGAATTTTACCGTATCATCGTCTTCTGTTGGGTTCTTTCGTGATTTAACACGAGCTTCTTTCCGCACACTTCTATCTTCTAGCATTTGTTCAACTAAACCCATGTCTACAGCCCCCATTTTAACCTTAGACACTTTACTTTTCTTTGCTTTCCCCATGTTGACAATTTTAATAGAAGCATGTGGCCATTACCGGAAGTCGTGGACAGATCCATTATAGATAACTAGATGCCATCTAAAAAATGCATGAATCGTTACATTCAAAGAAATTTAGATGTATTTCGATTACTTCTCATTTAGAATAAATACTGATTAATACTAATTTATTCGAAACCTATATTAGTCCAATCATTTATGTTTTAACGTATTTTTATTAAGTCAATAAAAACTTCTCCCTTGAGGACCTTTGACCTCGATGACCTTTGACCAGAAATTATCAGTGCCTTTATTGCCTGTATTGCCTTGAAGCTGTCAACATGCACATTGTTATAGAAGGGTTTCTTGTCGCCCTCAAAGTGATATATTTTTATTTTGAGGCAGCATATCAGATTATATTTCCACCAAAACGGAAAGATATTAATGGAGAAATCGTGTTGATAACTGGGGCTGGACACGGCATTGGAAGGGAATTTGCTTTAGAATTTTCCCGACTTGGAGCTCGAGTTGTTCTTTGGGACATTAACAAGGTATGTATAAAAGAAACAGTATAATCCGAAACACAGTTGCTTTGTGGAGATCAGGATGGTTGTATGATAACAGTTAAACAGAGAAGCTGTTCTAGGATTAACATAGTTTTCACTATATTGAGGACATTAATGTTGATATTCTTAAATTGAAATTTATAATAACTGCTATCAAAATCAGAGAGTGCATTTCAATTTCAGTCTCCGAAGCAGTCCAGAACCATGTGATCATGTAAACAATGCAACCAATGAACATGTAAACCAAATCACTATGGTTGATAAAAAGCCTTTTTAAAATGGTAGTTTGGCTCAAATTATATTATATTGCGAGAAAAAAATCAAGTAGTAAAATTATGAAAAAATAAGTTGGTCTAATAGAAGTTAACAAAAATTGAATTATTGCCCTTGACTTAATAAAGATTTGTCAAGTTTGGCTTGAGAATGTCATATGAATTATAAATCTGAATCGATGTATCGACTAGAGTTTTCTTTTTTCAAATTTTAAGGACAACAATGATTCTGTGGCAGATGAAATTAGGGCATTGGGCAGAGAAGCTCATGCTTATACTTGTGATGTGACTAATTTTGATGATGTACATCGTGTTGGTCAACAAGTAAGAGAAGATGTTGGTGAAGTTGGTATACTAGTTAACAATGCTGGTATTTTGTATGGAGGTGCTCTACTAGATATGAAACCTAAACATATACAAAGAACCTTTGAAGTCAATACCTTAGCACAGTTCTGGGTATGTAGCCACTCATCTTCACTATGTCAAATTATTACGAACATTGTACTTATACCTTGACTGAAATAGTAAAAAATAGTAGTCTGTGTACACAAAGCTCAAGTGCTTACAGCCTTTCTGTCGAGGGCTCTGATTGGTCCTATCCGCTGGTGTACAATCCAATCAATTCACAGTATTCCATGATACACAAATATTTTGGTCATTGCAGTCTATGTATAATACTAAGTTTGTATAGCTTGACATTGTGAAGATGGTAATAACTATTAATTTTATTTTATGATCACCAATTTTGTACTCCAACTTTAAATTTACTAAGTACATACATTTTTAGAAATTCGTTGTTTTGTTTTTTTGAAGTTCAGATTTTTATTAAAGCTGATGCCAATGTCAAAATTTGGTGATAATTTCAGACTGTCAAAGAATTCCTGCCCTATATGATGGAGAGAAATAAAGGTCATATTGTGAATGTTGCTTCTATGTCGGCTAAATCTGGAACAGCTTATCTTGTAGACTATAGGTCAGTATTTTAGAGATTATGTCTTGAACACCAGTTCTTGAGATCATATCTTGAACATCAGTTCTTGAGATCGTGTCTTGAACATCAGTTCTTGAGATCATATCTTGAACATCAGTTCTTGAGATCATGTCTTGAACATCAGTTCTTGAGATCATATCTTGAACATCAGTTCTTGAGATTATATCTTGAACATCAGTTCTTGAGATCATGTCTTGAACATCAGTTCTTGAGATCATATCTTGAACATCAGTTCTTGAGATCATATCTTGAACATCAGTTCTTGAGATCATGTCTTGAACATCAGTTCTTGAGATCATGTCTTGAACATCAGTTCTTGAGATTATATCTAGAACATCAGTTCTTGAGATCATGTCTTGAACATCAGTTCTTGAGATTATATCTTGAACATCAGTTCTTGAGATCATATCTTGAACATCAGTTCTTGAGATCATGTCTTGAACATCAGTTCTTGAGATCATGTCTTGAACATCATTTCTTGAGATCATGTCTTGAACATCAGTTCTTGAGATCATGTCTTGAACATCAGTTCTTGAGATCATGTCTTGAACATCAGTTCTTGAGATCATGTCTTGAACATCAGTTCTTGAGATCATATCTTGAACATCAGTTCTTGAGATCATATCTTGAACATCAGTTCTTGAGATCATGTCTTGAACATCAGTTCTTGAGATCATATCTTGAACATCAGTTCTTGAGATCATGTCTTGAACATCAGTTCTTGAGATCATGTCTTGAACATCAGTTGTGAATCACCCTTATCAGTTCTTGAGGTCATGTCATAAACAGAAAAGTAGAACGTAAAACTCCATTCATTTCATTTCATTCCATTTGGACATCAGTTGTGGAGATTTTATCCTGAACGTCAGTTTTAAAAAACATCTAGTCATTCATTATCAGTTTTATGGATCACATCGAATTGCAGGAATTGACTTCATTTCTAATTTTCTCAACATACTATATTGTAGTTCATCTAAGTATGCTGTTTATGGGTATACAGAATCATTAAAAGAAGAGATTGATAGACTAGGTAAAAATGGTGTTATTACTAGTTGTGTATGTCCAATGTTTGTATCTAGTGGTTTAGTTCAACGACCAAAAGATAGGTAATGTAAATTTGAAATCTTATATTTTATCTCCATAGTGAGGGAAATGGGTTGTCCAAAACGTTCTATACTTAACTACTCTCTTAGATAATATTTTCACGAAATTATAAAAGCTACCTTGAAGGAAATTGTAGCCTTTGTATGCATTGAGGGCAAACTTATAGCTTGTGGATGTATGTGGTTCCTGTTGTCCAATTTTTTTTTTCTGGAATTTCAGGAATCACAGACATTGTAATGTAATTTATTGGTGCAAATATGACACAAAATACTGCTGCTTCAGTATAGGATGTATATAACTTATCTCAAACCTTCATATAAATGAACTGAAAACATGTGACTGTTCATACAAGTTTGACTGTACATTTACTTTATTTTCATATAAATTTAAGGTTTGCTACTAAGATATTGACACCTAAGGAAACCGCTGTATCAGCTGTAGATGGTATATTAAGAAATAGAGATATAGTCTATGTCCCTCAAAATATATGGTTTAAAATGATCATACAATCGTAAGTTGATTACATGTTTTATGTGTCAGGGCTGTAACAACATCAAGGCAAATGCCTCATGTTTAATTTGCCAAAAAAAGAAATAATATGAATTTTTTTTTTAAATAAGAAATATATATATATTGCTTATTTGATATCTAAGGTTTCTACCGAAAGTGCTACCATAATCGACATAAGTCATTTCAAAGACATCAGAATTTTTGCCTCTTTGAAAAAATGCTGTAGTATTTTTATGTTTATGTTAAAATGATTATATTGTCGTTGCCCCTGTCTGTCCATTCACAAGTGGCTTGTGAACACAATAGAGATTACAGTTTTTATCTGATTATAATGAAATTTGGTGTGATCATTTATATTCATAGGATCTTGGACATGTTTGATGATCTTTCGATGAATGGGTTTTGAGTTGTTGCCCTTGACTTTGGAAAAACGCATCAAAATTTGTTTGTGAACACAATAGAGACTAAACTTTCCATCCAATTTTTATAAAATTTATGTTTAGGTTAAAGTGATTATATTGTCGTTGCCCCTGTCTGTCCATCCACAATTGACTTGTGAACACAATAGAGACTACAGTTTTTTTCTGATATTAATGAAATTTGGTGTGATGATGTATTGAAATCTTGGACAAGTTGTGTGGAGAATTTTATTTTGGTATTGTAGGTCATCCATGTAAATCTTGAGACAACACTTGGAAGGGTTTGCATTTTGAAGACCATTAGATAATTGAAAAGTGAAAGAATAAAATACTTGTAAATTCTAAAAAAATGTTAGCTCATTGTACACTGCATGATGTGTTGAGACATAAAGTCTAAATTTCCAAATTCCTTGGTAAAAAGACAAAATTTCTTTTGAGGTAATATATTTGTATCTCATGTAGTTTTTATTAATATTTCTATTTATTATATTTTAGGTTGCTGACAACAAAAGCTAGAGATTTATTGAAGAAATTTGGTGATTTTGGAATAACACCTCAATATGATCCTAATACTACTGTTGGTGCCAGACTTACCAAAACAAAATAAAACCTTTTCAAATCATGATGATCATATTACATAATAATACTTTGTTTCAATTGTTAATTATATTTTTAAAATGAAAAAATCTGTTAATTAAAAAAATATTTCTCTGTAATGTTTTTCCTTCCATGTAGTTTTGCCTTTTTTGTGAAAAATAACTACCCCATGTTACGGATTGTTAAAATTGAGCTATGTCAGCTTATAAAAGAACTAATTGGTGACCAAATACATAATCGGAGGTATTGTAAAATGCCCATGCGCAACAAGAAGGTAGATTTATGAAAATGAAGTTTGGTTATGGATGGAATAGTTTCGTTGATTATAAGGTCATGATGTCATCATCATAATTTAGTAATACCCTCTACACCATTAGAGTCTGTTGTTAGTGATCCATTAGGAACTATAGATTCTTCATAATTCTCTTTCATCTGAAAATAAAATGAAGTTGTACACCCTACCGTTCCGCTCTTGGTTGTCCTAATGAAGACGGCCATGGAATGTGTTATTGCAGAAATTTTCCTGCTGCGCTTGCTTACTCCTAAATAAGATTTGAAACTTTAAAGGGCTTAATTTTGATGGCTTATATATCTCAAGTACTACCTCTAAATAACTTACAGATGAACTTCAACCCATGGAAACACCAATGGAACATTTTATTGATTAAATTTTTATTTACGTCCAATTTTTGGGATGGGAAGTATGTTTTTTTTCTGAAGATATAGAATACCAAGGTATTTTTTCTACCACAAATAACACGCTTTTAGACATTTTTTTTTATGAAATGACCATGACATTAGATTAAAATTTAGTATCTTTTTTTGTTTTCTGATATTTTAGTCTCCATTGCAATCTAAGTAATTTTCTAGAAAAAGCGCGTCCCAATGATGTTAGTTTTAACCAATGCGTATCATACCTCATATTTTTGTCGATCATTATTACATCTTGTCCAACAATTTTTCCAAATATTTAATAATAAATTTTCATTCACATCTTTAGATTTGGTATACCCTAAAAAGCATAATATTCAGAGTTTAATATTTTCTGGCTAAAAAGTAACTGTTACAAAATCAGATGTTCCAGACGAAACAACCCAAAATGGTGGTGGAACGGAGTTTTGCAGAGCCACCATTAGGGTATCGAAAGGGGTTTCTAATGAACCAAGTAGGGTTAGTACGATGTGCCACCAAACGCCCATAGTTCATGTAATTCCAGCAATTCCGTTTCTATCATTAAGTATCATTAAATCATAATCATGTGCTCAAAAACTCTTAAAGGCCATGGTTCTCCATTTCCTGGGGTCGATATGGCTCTTGAATATATGTAAATAGTCTTCAGAAGTATTAGAAATGTACAAAAATCGCCATATAACTTTGAAACACAGGTTATTCTGGACCCACTTGAAATTGAAGGTTCAAATTACGACGGCGAGCTGTGAACACTATTGCTGATAAGCTAAGCTAAACGTTATTTCTCGTTTCTGAAACCAATGCACGATTGGTGAAACGGATGGCGAATCTTACCTTTTAAAAATCCCTGCAAATATATAATAGACCAACCTGTTAAAAGACTGACTATAACACCAACTACTATTGTAACCAATATACCAATAGCTGTAAACCATAGATATGATATCCCATACAATTCTTCTATACCACTTCTACAAGATTATATGAAAATGTGAAATAATGAAAGTAATGTGTAAGATTGGAATCCAAACATTCCTTTTGAAAAGATCAGCTTAGGTCCAACAGGACCACATCTCCTATGTGGGGGTACAGAGGAAATTTTACCCTTTTAACATGCCATGGAAGTCATTTCTATATAAAGATATCTTTTAATCCCTTAAATCACCCCCCCCCCCCCCAAAAAAAAAATGACCAGAAAAAAGGAAGCCTGGAATTCGTAATTAAAATACCTTATATCAAGGTTCCAAGGTTTTATTTCGACCAATATGCTAGGATCGAGCCCTGGATCTTCAGTTAAGCGTGTAAGTGTCCTTCTCCGCCGCATTCCCAAAAGCTCACTAAGCTATACTGACTTACAGTCGAGCTGGATCAGCCGGTGATAAAGTTGACGCTATTGATGCTGATGATGATTCTGTAGTTAAAGATGACATCAAGATGGAAGAATTGGTAGTTATGTTACAGCTCTCTATTGATGTCGGTAGTTTAAAATCCAATGGTTCTGTCAGATAGGCGCCGACACTGAGCCACACACCTATTCCCAGACCAGATATTCCACCAGCTAGTGCTCCCTGAAATTAATACTTTGAATGGAATAAGGTGTAACGTTTGGAGATTCCTTTCCGTCAGTGTACAAAAGTTGATTAAACTGCATCAATTTTCTGTTGGTGATCCACTATCAATCCATGATTTGCAGAAATTATAAAGCACTACTTAGGTCACAATCAAATTCAATGGCCGTTGATGCCATTTTGGTAAACACTATATAGGCCAATGGCAGAGGTGGTAGCCGCCCTCCCCCTCCCACCACGAAGGGTTTTTTGGGCAAAAAACTCATAACTAGGTTAGAAATTCTGACGTAAAGCTGGCTCCGCCAATGATATAGGCATAATGACAATATTACGGTTTTAACAGCTCAAGGTTTTAACTTACAATCCAGTTAGTGCTGGTGAAACAACAACCAAGTACAAAGATTCCTACCAGAGGTGCCCCTATAGCTCCGTTTATAGTCAGAGATGCCTGTAAAGAACATAACAGTTGATAATGAGTCAATGGCTGGGCAGCAATCGTAATCTGTGCCAAATCAAAATCGGGAAGAGGAGAACGGAGAGGTGTTGGGATGGTATAGGGCTCGGATTTCTCCACAGAAGGTCTCTGAAGATACCCCTCCCTGGTAATTATATTCGCCCCCTTGCCTCGCCACTCAACATGCAAATGTTGCCGCCCCCTTCGCACATTAAGCTGGTTACGGGCCTGTGAAGAACAGGAGGAAATTTACGGAAGAAGCAGTAACGATCTATAAGAATGATGCATAAAAGTAGAAGTTTGAGAAGATGGTGGTAAGAAGTTACAGAGGAAGTTCTGGGAAGGTGTAACAGACAGTGGGTTCTCTTTCTTACTCAAAATACCTGTAATACTGTACCTCCCAATTCTTTTACTAGAAATGCCACACCAACACCAATACATCCATACAGACCAGCTTAAATCAAAAATGTTATTACATTTACATCATGTTAATTTTAGTGAGATGTAAGTAAACAGTCGCCTAAATATTTTTACTTGGCAGAGCTGTAGATGGAAACGTCAATTTTTACGGTGGTCAAATCCAGTGGTGTTTTTAAAGATGGGTTCCCTTCTTTTGATTTATGAAAATGAAAACGGTTATACTTATACGAATAGAAAGTAGATGATATGGATATGTAAATTTTAAGTTCTATCAGCTTGTAAAGCAACTATTTAGAAGATCAACCCCTTTTGATTCATATACTTATTATGTACCTTAAAGCATAACTTATTGCGATGTTTGACTGATTTGGTTTTCTCTGTTTCCCAGATTTTATTGTCATAAGTAACATTATACATACCTAATACTTTTGTAACCACTGCAGCCTTCTCGTCTGGTATATGAGAATATTTCAATTTCAGAAAATCTTCCCATGTGACCGCGGCTAGTGAATTTAACATAGATGACACAGAACTGTAAAACAACAAACCAAGTAAACAATATAGCTTTTTTGACTCTGTAAAAGGGATGTCGAAGTGACAAACCAAAAAGCAAAGTGGCATCATTTTGCGTACGTATCAAAGACACATAATATTACTGCTATTTGCACCATTCTGATTCTCGTTAGTTTGTGGTTACTATAGTTTTGATCTTAAACAGATTTTGACGTTACGATCTGTACAGATGTACGTTTTTATCTTCCGTGCTTACTGCTTGCTTTTAGTATTAGTCGTTATGGACGATTTAGAGTTCCTCGTGTCGACATATTAGAATAGAACGCACCTTAAAGCCCCACTAAATAAACTGGACACGAATAGTCCTGGTAAACCTTGAAGATGACCCAAAATATCCAATACAAAATATGGCAGGAGCTGAAAAACCAAACAAGCATTAGGCTGTAGTGAGTTATTTAACAGAAAGGGTGTGAGTAATTAAAGAAGCAAGCAAAAGCATGCCCAACAAGAGCAAGAGCAAGCGCAAGAACAAAAGCAAGAAAAGAGCAAAAGAAAGAGCATAAATAATAGCAAAAGCAAATAAGCTAGCAAAAACAAGCATGCAGCCTAAATGAGAATGATTAATAAGGAGGTAACTGAATGACGAAATAAACAATTTGAATTCAGCCTGTAAACTTATTAATAGTCAAAAAATCTTACATTTTGCTCCAATACAAAACTACTTTTAAATTCAGAATAATTCTTACCTGATTTGGATTAGATATGTCTTTAATGGTCAAAGGATCACATTGGGAATACTGAGCATATAGTGTTAACCCGGTTAAAGAACATAATGTAATAATAATGAACATACCCGGTATGTTCAATAACAACGCCCTGAAATACAACAATTATAATGTTACCAGTATAAAATCTGGCGTTGAATATGAGTAACGAGGGTTGGTTTGTGAAACAATATTGGTTGAATTGATCTAAATTCAATTTAAGGTCACTTTAATACCTACCCCTCTTTTCCAATCCAAAATCCCACAATTTTCATTTATCCGAAATCTCCTTTTTTTATTCACAATCCCCTTACCCTCTTTTAAATTTTTCCTTATGCGCTTAAAAGGGCTGTCGTTAGACCTTAACTGATGTGACCATATTAAAAATAAATTTAATGAAAAAAAAAACGAACGAAGTTTGACTTAATTTTAATTAAACTGCTCCCACTCCCTACCCAATCCCCTCTTTCCCATTACACAATTCTCCCCCCCACCATTTAAATCTAATATAACTATGTGTACTCTACATCCCCTCCCCACCCCCGTCGTATTTGTAAACATTCAAGAGTTAAAAATCAAAGTAAGGATTGAATAGTACTCAGGATAGTATAAAACCAACCACCAACTAAATTCTTTGTTTACGGTCTTAAGTAGCTGGTGATTTCTTTTCAGAGGAAGTTGTTAGTGAGCCACTGACTGGTTTGATATGCCCTCCATCCACAACTAGTTAGAGTGTTCTCTTATTTTAAGACGAATGTTACGGCAACCAAACCAACCATATTGTTTCTTGAAACTGAGTTGAAATCAGCGATTGAGATACAAAACCAATGTTCATTTCAAATTCATTCAGTTTTCAAGCAGATGTCCTTAGTTACAGTACGTGATGCTTACAGTGGAAGACTCTTTAGCCATTATAAGGTGTGTATTTCTTTCTCCTTTTTGTTGGTATTTTCACTGTTCCATCTTCCATTTTATTTTGTGTTCAAGATAATAATACTAACCCTTTGTTATTCTGCAGCCACGACACCGAAACCCTTAGTTTATTGTTCATCCATTAAAGGCTATCCCAATTAGCTTCTATATTGGCAAGATATTCCAAAGCGTGCTACTTAGTTTTTCTGTAATCAAGGTATCCCAAACCTTCTTTCATTTTGTAGACTAAGAAAGATATTTGCTCATTTGGTAGTTTATTCTGTAGACAAGATATCCCAGCCCCTTACTACATAGTTTTTTCTGTGGCCAAGAAAAATATCCCAACCCTTAGTTTTTTCTGTTATACTGTTCCGGCTTCGTAGGTTATTCCCTTAGGCCTTCATGATATTGTACTTATGGACTGTATTGTTATATTTTGTAGATTACCATAAATGGAAAACCAAGTCGCTTATTAATTCTGCAAGAGAGATGACTATGCCGGACCTGGATCGAGTATCATATATAAACATGATGATTTGATACCTTAATTTTAGTATATGATTCGGTCTATTTCATGTATTTATGAATATTGTCGAGTGTTTATGCTCTATTTTGTGTTTGTTATTAGGACATATGGAACAGGTTTTACTCCATTATTCGAGGTACCAAAATCATATAATTATGGAATCAAAAATTCCACACAAGTGGATCAAATCGATTGATCTGAGGTACCTTATGCTATGTAAACACATTACTGCATATCTATTATTGAAACAATCTTGGCAACTGACCTTCGCTAACGAGACCGGATAGAATTTTGAGCCAAATTATTAAACATTGAGTGGTCACGATGTATTTATGTATTGAGCAGAAATTGGAGTCTTGCTTGAATGACGTCACAGCCAACAATAGGTGTTAGACAGCATCTGAATGATTTATTTCCAATTTAGGAATTACCTGATTTATTTTTTCTACAGTCCCTAAACTTTCCCAAACACGGTCGTTAGCTTGTTAGGTGCCTTTTAGGTTTACGTTTGGGTTCTGGTTAGGTTAAGGTTCGTGTTAGGTTCCTTGCTAGGTTCATGTTAGGTTTAAGTTAGGGTTCATGTAAAAAATGTTTAATGTATTTTTCTGATTTGTATGTTATACTATCGTTTGTTATTGTGTTATTCTTATATCTAGAAAACTCCTAGATCTACACCTTAACAGCCCCCTCCCTCCTTTCAAATATATTGCATTGGCTTGAATCAATGGCAGAATCTGAACGGAGTGCCTTTTGCAGACTTTTCAATGCTGTTCCATACATATGATATATGTAGGCCTACTTACCATTTTGCATGTTTTAATGATTTGGTAGAAGAAAACCTTTGTACCATTTGTTGATCTACTGTATACGGCGGCAGCCATACAAAATATATACCAATTATTAATGTCCAAAATGTATGGCGTATATGTGGATCAGTATTAAAACTAAAATGAAAAATTAGATTTGAACACCTTAGTATAATTTGAAACATGGTAAAGTATTAAAACTTATCAGGTGAAGGAGCACATTTCTAACCATACCATATCATTTTTACAAATAAAAAAGTTATTTTCGGTTCTTCTACAATTCTAAATAATACATTTATACACACGCAGCAAATTTATGGTGCTCCAGAACAGTCAAGTATGTCCGATTCTGGTGGTTGGTTTGTGGATGGATTGCGATCTAAAGTTTCGACCAGCTATATGTCTGAATGTAAAGTAACTTTAAGATTTAAGAAATTTATTTATAGACAAGAATAATAACTTACTCGAAAAATGTTATTCTGCCACCTTCATTTGCAATCCTCCAGACTTCAGACATTCCGTCAAAATTAATACAACCCTAAAAATATTTTAATTCAATACATTTTACTGTTTTACTGATAAGGAGAGTTGGCTAGGGGCTGTTTTAAGGACTAGAGACCAGTCTCAATGTGATAACTTCCATCCCTCCAGCAATGTATTTTCATGTTATCACTAAATCATTAAAGTGATTGTAAATAGGTGTTTCTAGCCTTTTTAAGTGTCAACAGAGAAGGCGTATCTGGACGACTATTTCCATTAGCTCAGTTAAACTATGATTTGTGTAAAATATAAAATCTTACTTGTATAAAGACAGCTAACATCCCTGCAATCATGACTAAAGTTTGAAATACATCAGTCCATATAACAGCTTTCATACCACCCTGTAATATTGTATAACTTGTCTCTTATATTAGATTGGTTAATAACTTTCATACCACCTTGTAATATTGTATAACTTGTCTCTAATATTAGATTGGTTAATAACTTTCATACCATCATGACAATATTGTATAACTTATCTCTTATATTAGATTGGTTAATAACTTTCATACCATCATGTAATATTGTATAACTTATCTCTTATATTAGATTGGTTAATAACTTTCATACCACCCTATAATATTGTATAACCTATCTCTTATATTAGATTGGTTAATAACTTTCATACCACCATGTAATATTGTATAACTTATCTCTAATATTAGATTGGTTAATAACTTTCATACCACCCTATAATATTGTATAACTTATCTCTTATATTGGATTGGTTAATAACTTTCATACCACCCTATAATATTGTTTAACTTATCTCTTATATTAGAATGGTTAATAACTTTCATACCACCATGTAATATTGTATAACTTATCTCTTATATTAGATTGGTTAATAACTTTCATACCACCCTGTAATATTGTATAACTTATCTCTTATATTAAATTGGTTAATAACTTTCATACCATCATGTAATATTGTATAACTTGTCTCTTATATTAGATTGGTTAATAACTTTATTAGGTGAAATCATGAGAGAATTGCAGTCTTTGCCACCATGCATTGTTTTCGTATAAGAAATGAGGACTCTTGATTTAACTTGTTTGTGTCAACCCCTTCGGGTTGTTTTTCTGTGATACTGGTTATATTTTCTTGCGTCGTTTTTATTTGTTTCTATATTGTGTTCATGCCGCTTTTCTTATGTTTATATTTCATATTATAATCGTATTCAGGTATTATATAGCCGTCTTGGTTCTAGTGCACTTTAATATATTTCATTTCATTTCTTGATTTAACTATAAACTGGTGAAAGGGGTAAGGCCATGCAAGTGTGCAATCAGGAAAATTGCATTAATCATGAAAACCCCCTCCCCACCCCTACACGTCAAGGTGAGAAGTTTGGTCCAATAGGAAAGTATCAAGTTTAATTTCATTATGGAAGCCCCAACAAAAGACCACCAGCGTCGAAGAAGAGCAGAAACCAGTCGAGGAAAGTCTTTCTAATTGGTATCCCAATTTCTCAAAAATACGCCAAACCATACTATTTTGGACTTACCATGGTAGTGTAAAAGGTACAAACAGCACCAACAGATACTATTACAGCCCATACTGGTATATCAGTAACTGTAAATAGAATCATAGTGATTATGTGGGAGGATCAAGGACCAAATAAATAGACACAGAGCTGGAGCATAAACTGAACAGAAAACGGAACCGAAAACAAAATAAGAGAACGGAAAACAGAACAGAAAACAATACAATAGAACAAAAAACATAATAACAGAACAGAAAACAAAACGACAGGACGGAAAACAATACAACAGAAAAGAAAACAGAACAAAAAACAAAACAACAGCACGGAAAACAAAACAACAGAACAGAAAACAGAGCAGGACACACAGAACAGAACATGTGTATGCAATAGATAGGCAATACTATGCGCTTACCAGAGATCTAAGTAGTTTAACAAAATAATAGACATATGAATCGAATTGCTAAGATTTTTTGTAGATTGTATTCCATGGAAAATAGTTACTAGAAAACTGCTTTTGGAGAATTTGAAAAGGAAGTAAATGCTTTTACTAACCTGCACTTAAAGCTGTAGATGGTCCATACAAAACAATTCCCATACCTAAAGTCTAATAAAAACAGATTTCTGAATTTTGATTATTGTAATCGACTTTCGTCTTCTACTTCAGCTAAATTGGCCCAACTGAACCATGTGACGGTAACGCATAAGTAACTTTCATTATCAAATGCTAAGTCAGTTTCAAAGCGGCAGTTATTTTGCAAATTGACGTTCCGTTCTATTAGATGCAATAACGCACATAAAATTCTAATGTATAGAACATTGTATTAAAATAATACGTACCGCTCGTAATAGAAATATGAAGGCACCAAATAAACGAACAGCTTTTGATTTAAATCGAATTTCCAAATACTGAAAAATATCAGCCAATTTATTACATTCTGTGATAATGTGATGTTAGAATGTCGCTATGTTATGTGGTGCACTTGATGTGACGCTATGTTATTTGATGTTATGTTCCGGTGACCAAAACCCATTAGTAACTGTTAACTTGCTATTTAGTTGTTTGAAGACATTGGGTGATTGGAAACCTCCCTCGAAACAAAATCCCCAAAAAACTGCTTAAGTCGTTTGGTGATGTGATTAAAACATAATAAAATCCCAAAGAGAGCAGTTAACGACTCACCTCAAATACACTCACCACCTTCAACCGATAAAACATTGGACCAAACAGCAGAGCCCCGGTTAATGGAGCTAGGACGGCAGAGAATACAGAGATCCAGTACATAGTACCAAACTGGTAGATCTCTGCTGGTGTACCAAGTAATGTAGAGGCCGAGAAAAAACTTGCCAACACCGACACTGCCACTGGTAAAAACTGGAATAAAAATATTATATTAACAATATTACCTATGGAGTAAGTTGACAAATCCAGTCGCAGATTGGAATCAAGTGTTCCGAGGAAGGCGAGAAGGATTTGGCTTACTTGTGATTAGTATATCAATCGAAGACGAAAAAAAGATGACAATAAAACATGCTTCGAACTCACACATATATTATCTTAAAGCACAGTGCTGTTGCATAGTGTGACCAGAAATTAGATCAATCAAACTTCAATTTGTCCGTGAACCTAGCACAACCAATAATCATTTGAAAAGTCTATAATCGGCCAATGAGGATCAGTTTTAGACTATTTACCTGCATGCTTTTATCTGCCATTAAGAACTCACGGGTACTTTTCTGCTTCCCTCCAGCACAAGCATGGTAAACACCAATACCAGCTGATATTAGTAACATACCAGCAAATACTATATAGTCAACTACTGAAAACTGAGCTTTACTAGTCATTCTGTGGTTCTCTGAAATGACCAAACAAGTATTCGTTTAAATTCGGGAGTCAAAAGACGTTTTCCAACAAATGTATGAAGTGTGTGTTTCTTGCTCCATTTTTCGTCCGTAACCTGTTTATTATAAAATTTATTAAGTTATAACTTTACTATTGCAAATACCTTTCAGATCAAATGAAAAGCGATAAAATAGTATGTACCCTATAATGCCATGGTTGGAAAAGCCCTTTAGAATCTACTTCAAGGGATTGTAAAGAACTTTGCTAAATTTTGCATGTGTATCGAGGTCATTGATGGAATCAATTTGCACCTTTCCAATTTTCAATCGGACGTCTGTGGTTCCTGCAAGTCCACTAATAAAAAGTGTTTGATGACGTTAATAATCTCAAAATTTGCTTCATCACATTATGGTCCTTCGCGATTATTCACGTCATCAAAATCTGGGTTTTAATGAAATTGCAGGAACCGCTGACGTCTGATTGAAAATTAAAATGGTGCAAATTGATGCCATCAGTGTCCCAGGTAGCCTGCAAATAATTTTAGAATACCTCTTTACAATCCCTTGAATTCTCACTACTTGACAAAGGCAAAGATTGTCACTCTACATCTTCCCAATCTCTTTCACATACTTTCCGCATAATATTATTATTGTACGTGTACCACCAAATTGTCGGCCCACTCTGTACCCCAAAGTCGCATGTTTTCAGAAATACTCTAAGTGAGCAAAAAAAGGGGCAATATTCAGAAAAAAAATTATTGCTTTTCAAGTCGAAATTTTCAGAAGGTAATTTATGAAGTTATTACACGTCTCGTCTGTTAAAATCGGTTTTCAAAAACTTTTACTCATGACATCATTTATTTTTTTTTTACAAAAAGTTGTGCGAAAGTTGCTCTTCGTTATATACATTACTTAAAAGTTCATGATTGGACTGGACTTCTGGACAATCGCAAGGCTTGTGGTTTAAATTAAGAAGGTAGTCTCTAACATCCAGAAGGAAACAAATATATGTATGTGTCAAGTCCAGGTTAAAGCTATCTTTTAAAGGTAATTTGTACGGAGGGTGATGAATTTATAATTGCTATCCCAATATCGACTTCTTCAAAATTCCTTCTTTAAAGATTCGCCATTTTCAGGGGTTAGAATGGGTCTTGAACTTATGTAAAAAATCTTTAGAAATACTATTTCACATAAATTACATAACCTCAAACTGGGAATTGCACGAATCTATAGCTACTAGCCATCTGTTTTATGTGCACATATTGTAGACGAACTATGTTTTAAATTGCATGGTGAACTATGATATTTTAAAATACAATTGAGCTTTATCATCCAAGAAATCGATGACTATGTCCCTCCAGGATGAGAATAAGGTGACTAACGACCAAGTGGAAGTTAAAATTTGTCATACTTCCTGTAATATAATATCTTATAAATATCAAACGACAACATATTGAATTAATTCATAAAACTTGCTAATAAGGCGTGTGAAATCCAGTGTATACCTTTGTGATAACGGACTAATAGGCGAACTCTTAGAAGTCAAAAGGGAATCGTTATAATATAAAAGAAATGTTGTACTTATTTTTTTCCATTTCTATAGTTTTTACAGGTAAAGTTTTTGATTTTGTGATTACATGTAAATAGTTGTCTAATTGGCAATATTTCAATATTTAGAGTATGCTAAAGTAAAGCCGAGAATAGAAGTGGTGCGGTGTACGGTGCCGTGTACGGTGCGGTGTACGGAGCGGTATACGGTGGGTATACGGTGCGGAATAATCGATACAAACGAAAATAGAAGAACTGAACACACGAAGTACGGGTCCGGACATGCAGACACGATTCGTTTCTTCTATTTTCTACTGAATCGATAATCCCGATTCGTACACCGGACCGGACACCGCATCTCGTCTATATACACCTTAAGTTATATTTGACATCAATTCTTACTTAAAAACCCAACATTTTTTTTAATAGGCTATCTTTTAGATATAACACAATTTTCCCTATGACCATCTTAACTCTAGATTTACACCAGGGCAGTCAGGGCCATAATTAGAGTCTTTATCTGTTTGCCTTAAAAGTCTTTTAGATTTTTTCATCTTCAAACTTTTACCGTAGACATCAAATAAACGACAAATTTAGCGATATAATATTTTTTTAAAACAAAATTGCCTCATGTGTATTGATGTAGTTAAAGCCTTAGCAGTAGTCTAAAATTAGCTGTCTGACGATTTCTTGTCAAAGTCGTCAGAATAGTCAAACGAAATTTAGTAACATTAAAGCTATATTATGAGTCAGTTTTAAATTGAAAGACCAGGAAATGTTTCATTATATTATGTTGAGCCTGAACATTTAAAGTTTTTCATCGTATGATCATTGATTTTGAGCCGATAGCATTTAAATTCACCGTAACACTTTCCAGAATTGAATTCCGACATCTAATCCATGGAAGTAGGCCAACAGTCACAAGTTTATAGGTCGATATTAACAGTATCTCAGGCAGATATTACATACATTGTAACGTTATTTGAAAATTTAGGCACTGATTTAGTTTTGTTTAATTGTAGACGATCTATACTTTGTATTTTCATTCTAAAAAGTGATAAGATGATACTTGATTCATGCAGCTTAAACGAACACTTTATCAAGGATTCTGCTTCTGTTCACAGTTTTATCAATTATTTTTTTTATTAACATTGTCAAATCAGTTTTGGTTTATTAATTAATTAGGATATGAGGAAATATCCTTTCTTTTTAATAGCACAATGCCAGTTTCATATTGCTATTGAAATATAAAATCATGCTTATAAATTCTGTTGATATTTCTATATTACAGTATCAGAAGGGGTTTTACAATGTAGAGGTACAGACTGTGTTTTATGTGATTGCTGGAATCAAACGCAACTTCCTCAAACTCTAACATGTGACAGTTATCATTTTATTCGACTGGAGTTTTTTGAATTAAGACGGATGCGTCATAACTATTTTCTGGGCAATAGATGTGATAATATGATTAACACCTCGACGTTAAGTTGCTATGGTACAATGAGTCAAACAATGCCGGTTCATTTTAACCAGAAACTAGAGATTTACAACCAATGCAATGGTAAACGCACCTGTGATGTCATTTTCCCTACTGATAGCCCTGTCAAGCTTGAAATACCTTATGTTTGTGAATCAGGTAATTTTTTTTAACCTATTTTTACTCTTTATTTTATATAGGTCAGAATAAGGTCCTTGTCCTGGTTCTTTTATGACCCTGGTTCTCCACCTGGGGTGTTTTCGCCTCCTGGGTGTGTCGGGGGTGTGGACCAGTAGCGGAGCCAGGTTTTCGTCCGAGGGGGCGGGGGCGAAATACTTGAGGTTGCCCGAATATCTAGACTAGTTATGAGATTTTTGCCAGGGGTGGGGAGCGGGAAACCCCTCTGCCCCCTTTGGCTCCGCCACTGGTGTGGACAACTGTTGTATGAGAATATTTTTTTTGGGGTTGGTACTATATGGTTCCATTGAACAGTAACAGCCGTTCCACTGAACATTATGTGTGATTATTATGATTAGTGTAAATAAAAATCATAAAATTTACAATGTTTTGAAGTCCGTTATTTGGGAGCTGTGAGGAGCTCGAATGATTACTTCAGGTGTGTGAAAGCTGAAAAAGGTTGGGAACCACTGTTTTATGAGGACACACATAGATGTAGTATATAATATTAGGACAAACAAACTAGAAATAAAATAAAGAAAACTTTTGTATAATCAAAAAATGAAATGAAATGAATGGAGTTTTACGTCCTACTAGGTAGGCTAATGCGGAGGGTTTGTCCAATTTGTCCAATCGTACCTTAGACTTAGTAACGTGAATTCTTTAGCTAAGCCAATTAGTAATCGAAACCGTCGAAATTTGAGCCTTAAAATTCATGTGTGTCTAGAATTATCAACGTTTGATAGTAAAAATGACGACTCGTCATATATAAAAGACTCAAATCCACCATCCACGCTTACAAAAAAATATTACTTTTATACTAGTCCGATACTTATTCAATTTCAGAGGCAGATCTACGATTGATTTCGACCAGATTTGCCCAAAATGCCGTTACGTTTCCCATATTTAGTTTGTGGGGAAAAGACTATACGAAGGGAGAGATATTGAACTGTGAGTGTCAGATGGAGATACCTAAAAACATGTCAGCTCTAATTGAAGTATTCTTTATATATTTGGACCCCGAGGCATGCAATAAAGTTATCTTTTCCAATAAAAATATACCAATATTTAGCTGTAATAAGTACGGTCTACGGCTGTTGTATGGACCGCAAGGTAACATTGAAGGTGATATGAAAATACAGATTAAAGACCTAGTGATCGAAGGTGATGAAGTTATATACTTTAAACTGAGAGGTATGTTCATCTATATAGTTACAGAGGATCTTTGGCAAGTGATGGGTTCTTATGCAGTGGAGGCACCAGTGGAGGTACAAAGAAGGTGGGGGGGGGGGGGGAGTGCTGGCATTTGCCCCCTAAAAAAGTGGTTTGCACCCCAAAAATTGTACCCTACTTTATTTTCAAAAAATCTGAATGTCTACCTTTTTCTCCAAAATATGTGTCAGAATGCCCAAAATCAATTCATTTTTTCTAAAATTTGCTTTAGAGAACCCTCTAAGACGTTCTATGAGAGGCTTGCGACTATGACACCACCACAGGGTAGCCAAAATTTGAATTCAGTCTCAGCAGTTGTCCCTTCATTGAGTCAGTCTGCCCTCTATTTGTACCCCCAGTCTCGGAAGCCTGGTGCCGCCACTGTGCTCACTGCATGTGAAATATATGAATTGATTTGTCGGATTAAAAATAATTAATCAGTCACTTAGGTTCATTTGATATAAGAATCACGAGTGGAAGATTCTATTTATCGCACAACTATCATTATTATACGTATATTTTCCATAATTTTAAATTCCCCTCCGTGATTTTATCTGATTTTCAGTTTGAAATGAGTAATTCTTGTATTATTAAGCTTAAGCTTAGCCAAAAGCCAACTGGTTTAGAATTTATGAAAAAAATAATAAATCGACAGCATTGGACTTACAAAATACAGATCTTTCAGATGTATCTTTGACGAATAGATCCAGTGGTGGCATTTGGCCCCATAGAAACATAGTTTGCACCCCAAATTGTACCCCCGCTATTTTCCTTCACAAATTAAAAGATATATGATTTTATACGTTTTTATACCAAAATATGTGTCAGAATGCACCAAAATACAATTTTTTGAAAATTGTCTTGGTAGACAACCATTTCATAAGCTCTATTAGAAACTTGGGACAAGACGCTTCCACAGAGTTGCCGCAATTTGAATTTAGCCTCGACATTTGTCACCTATTTAGTCTGTCTGCCCCTATTTGTACCCTAAGTCTCTGGCTGGCTTCACCACTGACTAAATTTAATATGCCTTTGATTTATGTTGTAGGAGAAAATATGAATATAAATTGTAATGGATGCTCTTATAATTCAGGTAAAATTCGGTTTGTTTCTGTCAAAAGACCCTTTGCATTGCATCATTTCATTAACGTCAGCTTTGGAAAAGATCATTGCTTGATAAACGCTCTAAAAACTCCATTTTCTTACAACAGACTGTCGAAAAAATCAATTTGAATTGTCATTTTACCCACAGTCTAATTAATTTGATTCGTTATTAATTTTTTGATGGTTCTCCATTGTAATCTAACGAGATTTATACTAAGGTCGTGTACTGGTGACGCTACAAGCTATTTATAGCAGCCAATCACGCCCATCAGCAATTTAATAATTCGTCATGATATCGGAAGTCGCATCGCTGTAATTTGGATTTTACTATCACACTTCATAGTCGATATTTAGAAAGATTCGGTATGACGCACTGGGATTGGCTGAATTGATCGTCATCAGTACGCAACCTTGGTATAAATCTTTTAAGATTACAATTGAGACCAAAAAAAAATAAATTGTAATCTAATTTTAATTAAATTGTTTAGCCAGCTCTTTCCTTTCTTACAAATTGATGAAAAAGGGCACATATCGAAAACGCTATGTTATAATAGGATTTACATGATTTTTTTTTGTAGATTCCCCTGAATCCCCTGAATCCCCTGAAGTTTCTGAATCGTTTATGTATCATGTTATATTGGGAACTGTATTTGGTATTCTTGCTGTGGTTTTTTTAGTTGTTGCAGTGTGCGTATTATATCGTTTGAGGTGCGTATTTCATATAATTTGAATGGCTAATTCACAAACCCCTTCCACGCGAGCATATTTAATTAATCAGAATCAATAACACATATAATATGGCCCAGGGTTTTGTATACTGCTCAATAGGCCCGTAACTACTTATAGAAAGTAGAGGTGTTCTAATAACTTGGAAAATACCCGTTTGGCTCACATGTCCATTCATAATTAGTTAAATTAGGAGAGAATTACCTGCAGAATCCCAATGAGTCAAAAAGTCTTTTTTGTTTATCCAGACTGTACATACATGGATTATGCAATAAGAACAAGAATACATGATTATTCATTAGAAACACCAATTAATCAAAAAGAAAACCCATCTTGAATATTTTAAGTAAATATTTTACAGAAAAAGGAAGCTGTCACGTCAACGAGGACAAAGATCACCTCAGCAGATTATCGAAAATGAACATTATGACTATATAGACGATGATGCTCCAACTAATATGAAAAATAACTGTCACTCGCACCAATACTTGGACCTTATCAACAGCCCTGATGGATATCTGACACCACAAGTCCCTGCCGCTCACCAAAGACCACTTGGTCCTAGAACCAGTGCAGAATCTAGCTACAACCGTATTGTCGTACAATAGGTAGCTTACATATTTCATTATGTTTTTGTTGAATAGTTTTTCAATATGTGCTGACGGAACAAAAGGTGGGGGTTTTCTACAATTTGTGTGTATCGGGTACACTGATAGCACACATTTGAACAATTTTTCTTGGGGCAGGCAAATGCTCCACACTTGTACTCGCACTTGCGCCGCCCCTGATCTTGAGTGCAATTTTAATATGTGTCGACACAAGACAGAAATGAGCTTTTAAATGTGTTCGCCCTGATTAACTTCTCAATGGTTGTGAACCGGAAAATATAAAAAAGCAAAAATCTACTTACTTTTCTATGCCTTTAACTTGAAAGAATGTAAATTGTGAAAAAAAATACTATATGAAGTGTGTTGATATAACAAGATAAATAGGGGATACGACAAGAAACGTGTCAAGTAAAACATGTTAATTTAAAGAGACTTTCCACCCTACAACTCGATATGGCTCAAGCATAATGTTTGAAATCTTCACAATATCAGGCTTTTACGAACTGGGTTTAATACCTTGACTGCATCAGCCACCATTCTTGTAAGACGGAAGTTTGTGAATGCAACGATTTGATTGGATCGTACGCTACCGATTATAGTCCTCGACATAAAGTCTGTAAATCATAAGCATTAATGTCTTTATGACGAGAGCTGTGATTGGCTGTATTCGGTTGCGACAATTCAATCAAATAACCTTGATAGAAGAAAATGGCCAAATAAAGTCAAGATATTAGAGGCTATTCGTCGTATGTAATAGCTTAACAATGTGGAGATGAATGACTGTGTATGTGAAATTATTTGCACCTTATTTAGTCACCCGGAAATTCTTGGCGGGCATGACACAAATATCATGCTTTAATATACAATGTGAATGATGATCTTACATGTTATTACAAATAGATCCGTTTTAAATTTTAATCATGAAGTGATATCCTGGCGAATATCGTTTTATTTCTTTTGTGGATGTATCTACTTTTCAGAAAACTGACTCGCATTGAATATTTCTTGCTGAAATGTATTTATAATTACATCACATCAATGTATTATTAAGCGGATTTAAACTGGTTAATGATAGCATCTCGTGGAATCCGTCCCTATGGTACGGGCTTTGTAGACTGCTAGGATCGATTACTAGGTAAAACTTTTGCTATGAACCGATGACAGGTATTATTTGTCTGTGAAATCCACTCATTCTAACCGAGGCTGCTCTGTTCTTACATGGCATGGGCATGTCCGAGGGCGGTGGGTGTTCGGGACAAAATGTTAAAGACCCAAAGAAGCCAATGGATTTGAGATGTCCTTAGATGAATTGTAAACATTAAGAGGGCTAAACTATAAAATAAGACTTTCCACATGTCCGATGGTCCCAATGGCCCACCCCCTCAACCCGAGCCCCATATTTTATTATTTCATTGGTTCTATGAGTCCCTTTAACAGCCCTCCAAATTCTTATCTCTAAAATGACACACAATGACATGATTATGTTTACTTATTTAATCTAGTATTGTCTATATTTTTAATGTTTATGTATGTAGTAGATAAAGTACATGAAATATAACTTAAGTACATATTTTATAAGGACTGGTACTTATCCTTTATAAGCATAAACTTACAGATGACATTGTGGACATCATTCATCTCGACACATGGGCACCAATCAGTATCGGTGCCACTGGGATCACAGGAGTAGGGGGGTGCACCAAAACAATACTTTTTTCATCTCTTTGTGGAGAGAACGCGCCCAAGGGAGGCTTCTGCGTTTTGAATAAACTGCGACATTTGTACCCCATTCCAAGACAAAAGGTGGTATTTTCCTTGTGCGCTTTTAAACCTGCAAAGCCAAAAGGTTGGATGTTTTTTCTTTGGGCTATATAACTAATAACTGGCGGCTTTAGCTATTACATGTATATAGTGAACAGTACATGTTGTGAAAAAGTCACAGTTTTCTGTAGTCAGAAAGGATATTGCAACAGATCAGTTAAAGTAGTCCGTTATTTGTTATGGTTCAAAACTGTTTCTTGTTCTTTGCCTTTTTTTATTAAGAAAACATTATGCGACTTCTTGAGACTGGTGACATTATAAAAACACCCTTTTTGACGAGAACTGGTACGGAAATACTATTATTAACTAGTAATGTTATCGACCCTATTCACAGAATTTCTTTCACATTTTTATACATGTATATCACAGACACATCTGAACTCTGCCAGGAAACGTCAGAAATGAAATAGAATTAAAAGAATGCCTCCAATTAATGTATATTGAATATTGGGAATCCCAATATACATGATGATAGCTAGGCTATCCCCCTTGTTTGACCTCGCACGTAAATAAAGACAATGTTCTCGATAAACTTTTGTCTTTTGTGTTTTTATATAAAATAACATCATTTATTCATGTAGTCTAGTATGTATATATGGTTTTAAGAAGTCTAGTCAATCTTTTTAATAATGCATATAACCAACACTTACTGTTTAGTCTATCACAGTATTGCGAAAAACACTGTGATTGAACTTTCATTTGCTTTGATGGGATTCATCTATTGAAATGAATGGAGTTTTATGTCATACTCTTCTGCACCAAACTGGGCTAATGAAGACGGGCAATGCCATGGAGTGCGCAATGATGGAAATTTTGACAGCTATGAAATAATAGTCATTGGCTCTTGTTCATAAAAAAAATGCTAGGATTGTTACCAGTTTGAAATTTTCTATTGGATCCTGCAATTTTTAGCCCCAAATGTTAGTATTTAATAGCCTATGGTTACCATCTTTAAACAGATATTCAACAATTACTAGGATATTTTCTTGTGGAGTGAAGACTCACCTAGTATGATTTAAATGTATATTTAGGTGCATCGTGTTTTTAAATGTAAATTACTACAGTCGCCATGCATCAGTATACACCAAACTATGTAAGTACTTAGTTAATTGTTTCTAAATATCACAGGAGATAGCAGTAACAGTCTATGTCAATGAAGTGATATTCAACACCATCAGAAAACTTTTTGTCTTGATGAGCCACAAATGCAAACACACCAAAAACCTCACACCAGGTGGTACAATAATTTTACAAAGCTGTAAAAAAAATCATTTTAACAAAACAAAATATTTTTGTACAAAAAACAACACATCACAATCAATCCACCTCACAGTGACAATAAAATACTTGGTTTTCTTTGTCAGTCCCATTTCAACAAGCCGCATAACACTAATATGTTAGTGATTTACAATAATATCTCTTGGAATCATTTCAATTCAGTCATCTTTGAATGTTCCTTAGAAGTTGCCCGGTTACTGTGTCATTTGCGTAGAAACGTTAAAAGAATGATGGCGGCGAGTTTGGCCTGAATGAAAGCTTGGCTGCTTTGAACTGAAAAATACCAGCGTTCATCGCCGAAATTTTTCCGATCGCTGTTGAAAACTAGTAAACCCAGCAAACCAATCTCTCACCTCCTATGTATATACTACGTATTATGTACAGTGAACACAGTGTAATTTGACTTTATTTTATTTTCTATTTTAACTGTTCCATTGTTTTCATTTTGAACCTGCTTTACCGTACACAGGGTAAATTGACACATTATTTTCCACCTTCAATGCTGTTTCGGAATTTTCATAAGCACCACTTTAAAAGATTGGTCTGCTAGAGAGCATAATGGCAGTCATTAGCACGAGACCAATGACTTCATCAGGAATCTTTATGTAAACTGTTTTCAGATTCCAAAATAGCAAATAACTGTTTACACAACCCGGTATAGAAAATGATATGAAGTGCACAATTGTCTTTCAATTGGAAAATAAAAATATTTCATTTGATCATGGCCTCGACAAAAAGTCCATTATGATGTTCCCTAGAAGTTACGCCAAGATTTGGTCGCGAATTTTGCCATCTTCGACTGTATGAATAATGCTGAAAAGATACAAAATGGATCATTGTAAATGACTCAATTAAATTTTAAAGGCAAGTGTAGTTATGTAGCTGTGTCGCAAAGGCAGCTGATGAGTCATTGACATAAACGGCACTTTCCTTTTTTAAAGTAAAATAACATGAGTCTTTTTTCTGCAGCTAACTTGGATAATGAAGACGGGCACCGTGTGGAATGAGGTAAATTTGGCGAGGACAGCGACATAAGCCGACTATACTATATATCAATTTTCAACGGTCGAGTAATCTTTATCGTGCACAGCCTGTATTGTCCCATCGTCATCTTAATGACATTTGAGCAGCTAAAAGTTGCGTGGTTTTGAAAACCAAGTAACAATTTAAATTAGGTCTCCTCCTTTATATTCAAAAGCAAAATAACCTACCACTAATTTTGGTGGATGTCGTTTTCCATAATATATTTCTATGAGACCAATTATAATAGCTAGCACTAAACCACTGATTAATATATAAAATATACCAGAAACATTACTAAGTGATAACGATCTTTTCTTCGATTCCTTAAAATACAAAGAAACAAACATAATACAAAATGTATTGCGATAAGGAAAAAGAAAAAAATGTAGTGGTGTAGTTGTTCTGTTCATTGTCAGGTTGTGGTTGCGTTTTACATAGCTTTTTTCAGATTGAAAAATACACATCACAGATACCCATCAAAGAAACCGTTCAAAAATACCCATTAAAGATATCCATTTAAAATAACATTAGAAATACGTATCAGAGATACCCATATAAAAAACATCAGAAATACCAATCAGAGATACCCATATAAAATAACATCAAAAATATTAATCAGAGATATCCAAATAAAATAACATCAGAAATACGTATCAGAGATACCCATATAAGATAACATCAGAAATACCAATCAGAGATACTCATATAAAATAACACCAGAAATACCCATCAGAGATACCCATATAAAATAATATCAGAAATACCCATCCGATATACCCATACAAGGTAACATCAGAAATACCCATCAGAGATACCCTAAATATATAACCATCAGAGATACCCTAAATTTATAACCATCAGAGATACCCATCAGAGATACCCATCAGAGATACCTATCAGAATACTCAACAGTAATATCCATCAGCTATGTAGCTAGGCGGCTGGGTAGCCTATGTCGAACGTCATAGTATAACAATCCGAAGTGATCTAATAATTATCCATCAGGGATATCCGCCATACCCCTTCAGAAATAGCCATCAGAAATATCCAATAGACCATCAGAAATATCCACCAGAAATTAGATATTGGTCGACAGCTAGATTGCTTCTGATGAGGCGTCAGAGAATAACAATCCGAAGTGATCGATTAGGAAAATTCTTACCCTATGACCAGGGTTCGTACCACATTCGCCCTTTTCAAACCACCATGTCTGTTGTAACTTATGTAAGGTTCCATCTTCTTTCAGCTTGAGAACAACATAATTGATGGCTTCCCTGAAACATATCAATCAACTAATATAAAGTCGTCTAGAGTTCAGTGGATCGGGTAATATAAGGTTATAATTCATAAATCATAAATCTTCCGATTTCAATATCAGTTCAAATGCATCTGAAGTCTAGATATTTTGTTTAGTTATAATTCTGACAAAATGACAGAAGCATTGATGAACCCAACACTCACGCCCCCGTTTAAGTTTAATCCCCAATTGCATAAACCACTGAAGATGGTCAACTAGATTATACGTTTACGTAAACCTTTTAAAGATGGAATTCTTTATTCTTTAGTGTCAAATTAATGAATTAATTTAAATAATTGGTGTTTCAAATGAAGTATCGTGCATTCTTAATAATATCATTATGATCTTATTGCATATAATTAAGAGTTTTAACCAATCATAAATGTCCATGTATGTACAGTCTGGAAAACAATAAAAAACACTTTTTGACTTTTCTTGATCGGTCACTCATTTGAATTCTGTTGGTAGTTACTAGTATATTTCAAATTTATAAGAACACATCTTCTTTCTATTCATATAAGTATTAGCATTTTCATTTTTACAAATAAAAATAAGGGAACCCATCTTTAAATAGTTTTGGCGTTCTAAAAATTAAATGTGAGATTCCATAATTGAAACTGTCAGATAAGGCAAGGGACTCATTTCTATAAATTTTGGTATATGGTTTACTCCTAAAAAATCAGACCGCCTCTTAAAGTGCAGAAATGAACGACATAAAGCTCCAATATTATTTCATACACAATAATAATACTGAGAGACAGAAAGTTCCAGATTAGTTTCAGTGTGGTTTACGGCTCGGTTAACTATTGATTCTATAATGTTTATTGGTCATAAAGGGTTATGTTTACACTACTAAATACATGCTCAATCCAATATTAGTTGGCGTATTTTAATCAAAATGTGTACTTAAGCAGAATTGATGACCGTGTAATACAATAAAGAGAACTATTATTTTTCTCTCGACTTCTTTGCTTGTATAAGTTTAATGCTGGTTTAAATATTTCACGAAAAAAGCGTCGGTTAATCACCGATTGTGTCTCTGTGTGCAGAATGTATAGAAATACATTGGCGATCCAGATTGGTAAAACATATTAATCAGGGCAATGACTTGCCATGCAATATAAATTAGGATGTGGATAAGCAGCTCTGCATCAATTGCCTGTTCTGTCTATAGCGAGTTGGAGAGTTCAATCCCGGCATATGTCGAGATAATACCCGGTTATCCCCTTGTCAATGATGCAGGTAAGAGGGTCTGACATGAAAAAGCGTCTGGTCGTTCCGATAGGATAATAAACCGAGGCCCACGTTAAAGATCCCTCGACAGTTGGAAATCGAAAAAGAGCAGGCTAATGCCACTGTCCTGGCAAAATTTCCCTCATTGCATCCTGCATGGCGTTGCCCGCCTTCATTAGCCCAGATGGTTCAGAACAGTAGGACATAAAACTATATTTATTTCATTTAAAGCGAGTTGGATATTCGTATGCTATACGATAGGGTGCCTTGGGTTCGAATCCTCTGCACGTTAAGAATAAATCTGATGCCACTGCCAGTGCTCGGTGTTGGCATTACGCCCCTGCCAGCCTTGGTAAAAAATGTTTTTATATTTCTACAGTAGGCATGACAAAACATTCAAAACTGTAGCCAATGTAGTCAAGTTTTTCCTCAGGAAAACAACGTCAATTCATCACTTCTTTAACTTAGATAGATTTCCTATGGCAAAGTTCCATTTTCTAATAATTCAGGAATTTGTTTAGGTCGTAGTTGAATCTGGAATTTCCAAATATTGATAAATTTAAACTTTATGTTCTGTTTGACCTTTCTCGTATTTTACACCCACCACTTTAATTTGATCTTTCAAGAAGTCAGAATGTATTATTGAACGGTTGACAAATTACGATTGTCAACAGAAAATATCAGAAGAAATTTTTTTATTAATATGGAGCTTAAAACATCAATAGCTGAATAAAAAAGATGATGGCTTTACGCCCAGGCATTGTGTTAACAAAGCTCAATTCAATAGCTAAGAATATGTGAACAACATGATTGATGAAATGTGTACGAATCCGTTAGATTCATCAGTATCGTAATTCTTTTGTCGTAAGGTTGGATTGGCCCAGTGCTTAAAAATATCCATTTTATGAAATTTATTTGGTATATGTCGCCTGTCGCACCAGGTATCTATCCTACCCTATAGAACGCAATCACTAATGTAAACAAGAACAATGCGGAAAGACAGGGCTTTTTTTGACCTTTCAATTATAGTCTTCAAACCTCACTGTCGAAATTTGAGCCTTCAAATCCACGTGTGTCCAGAATTATCTGCAATTGAATGTTAAAATGACGACTCGTCAAGACATAGAAAAGACATATATAGGAAAAGTGAGCAAAATTTGAAGTTTTTTGAAGAAGTTATGTGATTTTCGTACATGTCGTACAATTTACATCTGCATCTGTCCCTTAAAATAGGCAGTAGTAGCGTTTCTAGGAATCATGAGTAGGGGCCACAGAGTTGTCGGGGGTTCACAGTACCAGAAATTTATGCACCTATTGATAAATATTTTGGAACTGGGTCAAAGCCTGGCCACCTTTTTTTTTATCACACCCCCAGCATAGACGCCGCTGATAACATTTTGTTTTTTTTTCTTTTGGCCGAAGATATGTTCATTTTCAAAATTCAGAGTTTTTGTATGTATTCAACCTTGATTTTCATCAAAACCTGCGCGTTGACACCTTCTATCTGGACTTCCTAAAAGGTCAGCCGTTATCAGCCATCTCTCGTGTCATATAATAATCCAGTTTTATAGAAATGTAAAAAATACTAACTCTTGTCACGTTCTAAGATTTTTATGAAGAAAAAATGATAGAAGTCTGAACATTAATTTATCAAACTATTTTCTATGACTGTCAGGAATATTGAAAACTTGAGACTCTCAAAGACTTTTAATATTGAAATCGGAATCTGCTTTCAGAAAATTTATCATTCCAAGTCTTAATGATTTTTTCTAGCTTGTTGAGTTATGTCGATAAGCAGACGCGGCTGCGACTCACGTGGACATGTTTATCGGAATAATCAGTTAACGGTGTGTTGAAGACTATATCCCTACTGTTTTTGCACGCTTGCTTGCTAGCCTGAAGGTCAAGGGTTAATACCATTGGCGGATTTTTCAACCCGTTTTCCCTCTGTCACTGATGCAGGTAAGAAGGGCTGGCATGGAAAAAGTGTCTAGTCGTTCGGATAGGACAATAAACGGAGGCCCGTGTGCTACAGGCTGTGAACGTTAAAGATATAGATGGAAATCGAAAAATAGTAGGCTAATGCCGTTGTCCTCGCAAAATTGTCCTAATCGCAACCTATATAGCGTTGCCCGTCATCATTAGCCCGCATGGTGCAGAAAAGTAGGACGTAAAACTCCATTCATTTCATTTTAAAAATCAAAAGCAGTGATTCTGAAACACAGCAATCAAGAACGATTCAACTGGTACAGTAAAACTTGCATTATCTTACTCGATTTTACTTGATTTAGAGCCGCCTTCATAATCCAACTCTAAATTAATTTTATTTTTCAAATTTTTGGGAGTTTCCACAGAATTTGATTTTTTTTTTGTATCTAGATTAGAAATACTTAAAGAGAACCTGTTTTTAATAACATGTTTTAATATTTCTATATTGCTTGAGCAGAATTTCAACTTTGAAAATATTATGTTATTGTATTCATTACACATACATAGATAACTCTATGGAAAGAACACAATATAGAAAAAAGGCGATAGATTTTAACGTTCTTTAAGTTTGATTTATTTCCTCGATTATAATTAAAATGGAAACGAATACGATATTTGCTTAAATTGGGCTATTTTTTTCCTGAAAATAGGTAATTTGTCTCTTTAGAGTATAATAGATGACATTATGTATTGAAATTACTAAGATAATAATGTCTGTAACAGTAATTTAAAGGAATATATCTGAATAAACAGTATGATTAAACAACTTATTCGCCACTTAATCTGTCAGTTTTGAATCTTTTAAAAGATTATAGAGAATTATATGACTCCAGCAATATTATATACGACAAAAACTGTTATTACTTTTCTTGCTATAAGCAAATATATTCAGACTTCTTCAAACTCTCATTAGTTGCTGTAAAGAAGCGCCAAAAAAACCTTTCCTACCACGATGAGAAACGGCTACTGCAGAGAGGGAGTCTCCGATACAGACGCCATCTTCAAAGAAAATTGAAACAAAACAGTCGCAAAAATCGTAACTTACAAACCATTGGAACATGTAAATTGTGCAGATAAATAAATTGTAAAGAGTAAGGAACTTTGGCAATAATTTGAGAGTTTGGAACAGAGAAGTATGAACAAAGGAAAAAGGAATATAAGGAGTTGCGAAGTGTGAACAAGGGAAGTAAGGAATATAAGGAATGACGAAGTATGAACATGGAAATTGAGCATATAAAGGGGTGGAGTATGAACAAGAGAAATAAGGAATATAAGGAATAGCGGGGTATGAACAAAGGAAAAAAGGAATAAAAGGAGTGGTGAAGTATGAACAAGGAAATGTGCACGAACAAGGAGTGGTAAAGTATGAACAAGGAAACGTGCAGGAAAATAAGCATACATAAGAAGTGGTAAAGTATACAAGGCAAATAAGCTACAAGTATAGAATGATAAAGTATGAAAATGGGAATCAATCTACATCTACATGGGAATAGTTCAGGAAGTTTAGGCTATCATTGAGCTCGAAGACTTCATTTTCCTAGAAAATCAAAGTATATGAAATTAAAATTATACTTACTTCAAATGAGAATTTAAAGGCGTCGCTATTCCAAACCCTTTAAGGTCAAGATTTGGTCCAACTCTCATGGTATTACATGGTTTTCTGTTGTTATAAAAATCATTGTTGGAAGATTCTAATAAAAAGGCATATTTTCCTTTGGTATTTCTCACTCTTTCCACGCCTTCTTGAATAGATTTGGTGAACACTGGCGGAGAAGCCGTCGACATATAATTCCACATATTTTTATAGGTTGTAACTTTAGATTTCTGAAAAGCAAACAGATAGTTTTTTTTATAGTAGTTCTATTGGATTTACTACTGGAAAACTAGGACGTCGTGAAGTGGGATCACTAGAGAGAAAAGGTGGTACATAAGCTGGGTTACTCTGGAAATTTTGGAGCATGGATTGTATTCTGTACCGCTATTTAGAACTTCTCAAAAAGAACTGTTTACAATAGAAAACATAAATGAGCGCATAATGCATGGAATTGAATTCTGTCCGATGAACGAACGCGAAATACACTCATTAAATCAAATTCAATGCAACTGCAGAGCCTACAACCACAGGAAGAGACTAGGATAATCACAGCTATAAAGAGTCATATGTCATGATAGATTAGTTGAATAAAAAGGTTGTATTACGTCGTACTAGATGTCAAGGGAGAAATCAACAGATATATTCATAAATCTAACAATCCAGATAAATAATTATTATCTTTCAAATCTGTAAGATTAAAAGGCGGATTTTCTTTTCGGAGTCAAAGTCAATATTGATTTTTCAATCACTTATAGTAAGAGAGAGTCATTCTTGTTTTTTTTCTATTATCATGTAGTTATTTCACCGCTTCTCTTCATTAGGAGTATGAAATGTAGTAAAAATACCCTGTAAATTTGGGCATACCACAACTTCAAATAATACAGCAAAACATGGAAGGCTCTATTTGAAATGTCATCACTTTTGGAACTTACTTTAAAAAATGATTTAGTAGAGCCATCTTCGACGGTACCATAAGCAATATCAGTCTGTTTAGCTAAAGCATCAGCTGAATCTATCGGTGTTAACATCCGTTCAATGGTTAAAAAAGCAGCTAAATTAGCTGTATATGACGATATTGTTATTAAAACAAAGAACCACCATGCACCGCCTATAATCCTGCCTGCCGTAGATCTGAAACATAAAGAAAAAATGAAACAGAATTGACCACAACAGCATTTACATTCATTAAAGGGATTGTGAAGAGATTTTCGAAATATTTTATATGTATCAGGGACACTGACGGCACCAATTTGCATCATTCGGCATTTTCACATAAGACCGGTTAGTGACATCTCTAAACACTTAATTAAAGTGGAAATGCAGGAACCACAAATATCTGAATAGAAATTAAAAAAGTGCAAATTGATGCTATCTTTACTTATCTCTTTTATAATTTTGCTCGATAAGAAGTATACAATGTGGGCGTAATATGGTTGCTTCCTGTTTGATTTTGTTGTTGTTGAAAACACGACATAGAACACAATTTTATATGGTTTTCTCCCAAAAATGAGATCTTGAAAAAAATGACCTTTGTAATATTTCTCTCTAAACGGTTTAAGCCCAGATAGGAGAAAAGCTCTTCAACAAAAATCCTAACATTTAAAAAACTGCCATGAAATTGATCAACGATTTTCGTCGCCAGGAAAAATTAAGCAACCGGATTAATTTAATGTCGTATATATTTATCAAGCTTTTTGACATTCCATTAACCCTTTGGGGATTATTTTCCTTGTAATCCACAGTCCATAATAGTCTCTACTGGTTATAATGATCAGCTTTGAAAGTATTGTTTACATAAGACTTTTAGATTTTTTTCAAAATGATAATAATGAATCTTCAAGAAAGTCTGGCAAAAGATAAAATGGTAGAGGCATCCACATAGACGTTTTTGATCAAATAATTATCCAAGGAAAAAATAAACTGCTAGACACTCCTTTGAATATGATATTTTTTTGGTGCAAATGGAATGGACTTTTGCGTGTTTAAATCCACGGTCACTCAGCACTAAGTGAGCTCTACAGGCCGAAAATTTTTAAATCTTCAACTAACAGGAATTAAATTGACTTACAGAGAGGGCTCCGAATGCAGGAGAGTACATGTTAAAAAAAGGTTCCAGTGGGAGTGGGGGGGGGGGGGGGTGCCCGAACCCACTTAGGTCCACGAGCCCCCACTCATTTAGTTGAGCCATTGCTAAGCTTCTGTTACTGGTACGGCTTATGTTCCAGGATGACAGTGCAACGCAGTGAGCATTGAGGAACTTATCGGTACAATGTCCATACCCAAAGTGCTATTCAGTGGTCATATTCACGACCAAAATCTGCCAGTCTTTGACAACGTATTGATATTCTTACCTTGGACAAACGTGGTCGCTGCCCTGTAACATGAGAGCACCCATAGAGAACCAGAAAGCATTAGGTAGTGTAAATTGATTATGATAAATATGTCCACTGGTTAAATCCTCCGTACTCCATTCATACGGACTGAATCGACTGGCCATATAAATACTAACACTGACTAAAACATAGGCAATAGTTATACACGCCCAGATATTGATAGTAAATGGTTCCATAAAACTAAACACTCCTGGTTTCTGCTTCTCTGGCTTTCTGATCATGATACTTATTCCAACATTCATAAATGGTTTGGAGAAATCCACCACACGCTCTCTCTCGGCAGTTATTGTTAATGGAGCAACAGCTAAATCTGCTCTCTGAAATACAATAGGGGTTCATGAAATCCCTTTTTCTTTTAGTGCTCTCGATGTGAATTTCATTCGACTGTCATAGCATGCTTCCTTGATGGCTCCTATATTTTGAACTTGCGAACTCTTGCGTTGCAACAAAGGTCGTTTCATTGCGAATCGAAAAGTATTTAGAAAAAAATTTGAAAGAAGAATGCTGATGAAAATTTTTCAATGACGCTTTGGATATGAGTGAGAAAACGTATGCAGATAAAACTATGAAAACGTGCAATTAGGTGACAACTCAAATGGAGTAAGATAAATTGAAGGAAGGCTATTTCTAGAACAAGTGACTATCACATATTGATTGCCTTGGGTGCAAACTAGGCTGGTTGGAAGATTGACTTCACCCCTCTTCTCAGTTCGCCTATTATTCCATTCCACGACTTGTTTTCCAATTCGACACCATACTTGTTATCTTTCACAATGACCATTCTATAACTCAAGCCAAGTTCTCTAGCTAATGCATCCGCCAAGTCTTTACAATATCCTGCAATGAATCGTATCTAAATTATGACATGGCGTTTTTAAATATGCATCCGTTTCTTATTCGAAAGTTAAAATAATATTAGCTAATAAAACAACTTGATTGTTCGGCGGGACCATGTTATATATACGGAGGGGCAATGGAGTATTGTGTTAAGTTGCAGTAACGAAATATGGTCGCTTGTCAGATTGTTTTTCATGGAGGAATCCATGTTTTTGCAGGGGAATTTCCCCCCGCCTCTCCTTGCCCTCCTGATGCTGAGCCTACAACGAGGGCTAACACAATATTTGACGGTTTTGGATGTAAATTTTCAGATTTTAACTATTATGGTCTAACTGGAAGTAAAAGTTTTCGGCTATCGTCATGTCCGATTTAGATTCATTTATGTCTCAAAATAGGCTTGCAATAATTTTCCTTTTCTTAAACTTGACGTCAAAAAGTCTTTGAAGTAACGATAACGGAACGTTGAAGATTTCAGTCAACCAGTTACGAGATATTCCGCATTGCAATTCCTTTAAAAGAGGTTTAATATTTCAGAGTTTATAACATGCCAAGATCAATAGATAAACCGTCAATGGTGTCGGATTTTAAATTGATTGAAATTCTATAGACTACATCTTTAATCGGAAACTTTGAATGAACAACAATAGCTGTCTACAGTTAATACACAGACTTTAATATTAAACATGTTCATCATCCAGACAATAATACCCCGATCTAGACATCTAGAATATTATCTAACAATACAATCCCCATCACGGCAAAATAATAAAATCAAATGAATATAGACAAAGGGTAGGGAGGGGCAAATTATATATTTGTTTTTCACTTGGAACAGAATTCAACGGGAGAATGAAGTGATCTGGTTGTATTTCTTGATTTTAACCATTGTAGTAGTGACTGGTGTCGCGAGAGAATCAGACCATGCTTACTCTTTTCGAAACACTTGATGGTTCTTCTCTTTGGGGGAGTCAACAACTACCTTTCCTCCCCTCTGATTGTACGGATTTTTATTCGGCTATAGCTCAAAGATATACATTTGTCAATATTCAACACAACTAATAATCCTCGTACATTTTGTTCTAACCCTGACTGGTTTCATCATATGAGTAATTTTGGATGTTACGAAACAATACAGCTTGCTTATGATTGCTCTAAGCATAACCTTTTACTTCTCATCCTTCAACCTTCAGCTCTCCTAGCTTCTGGTGTGGTGTGGTGTAACGACATCATCCTAAATAATACTCTGAAACCATACCTTCCCCAGAGAAAGAAGCCACTTACCTTCATACCTGTCGTTTCCTGTTGGAGGTCGACCATTATCAGTTTTATTATTGCGATACAAAAATGGCGGAGACTAAAAAAATAATATGATGTTTTTAAACAAGACGGAAAAAGACATTTTCCGCAAGGAGATCAAATCGGATGAAATTTACTAGAACATTCTCGCACTTAAATGTGTTGATCAAAGTGTTGATAAAGAGTGTACTCTCTGTTAAGTTCATTAATCTTTTAAGCCGAAGGGAAGTAACTCAAAAACCATTCATCGACACTTACTATAATTGAAACTACAGTTCTTTCATAATCGGTTCTTGTGTAATTCCATGTATCACCGCTATCTTCTTCTTCATCATATACACTTTTTAATCCTGTATTACTATCCCATTCTCCTATCTATAATAAACAAACCGGAAATGACGTTTGTAAATATCTGGTGGAGATTCAACCAACATGAAAATTCTACCATCTTGGACTGGCCACAGCCTGCTAATTTAATAAGGTCATATCCGTCTTTCATTGCAGAAAACTTTTGTAACAGCAGAAACGGTCATAGGCCATCGTTTTTACCCAAAGACACTGGAAGGTCCGACTTCGTAGACTAAGTAACACGAAAAATCCACTTGGTAACTCGAAAAATCCACTTGGTAACTCGAAAAATCCACTTGGTAACTCAAAGAATCGACATAATTATTTGAAAACTTGTCTTGGTATTACCAATATTCGATTTTGCAACTCGAAACTCCGACTAAGGAACTGACGTGAGTTTTTACGTCTTATTACAAAGTCAAATATTGTGAAAAAATTTGAAAAAGACGATGGTGCCAAGAGCTTCCGAATGTAACTGCCTTTGACCCACATAAAACGCCAGTAAAGCTCCTGACAATCTCTATAACTATGTAAAGAAGCATCCCTTTAATCGCTAATAAAAAAGCAGTAATTTCCCCTCAGTTCCTTTGGAAATTAACATAAAGAAGAGATAAGAATAGGAAGAGATAGTCTCTTTAGACTAGCTAATGTTTTAATAAAGATGTTAATGCGCTCTAGTCATTATGACGAGAAAAGACTAATGACATAATGATGTGTTATCAATCCAAGTAATCGACTGTAAAAGAGTCTATCACCTCGTTCAGTATTTAGAGTGAGAATGTTGGCCATAACGGTGCAGTTTAATAGAAGATTAACAGATAGTCTAGCTCTGATTACGTGCTTTAGATTTCAATCGAGTTAGAACTACATAAATATTATTCTTGTCAATCTCGTCTCTGACAGAGAAATGGAACTCAGCTAACTGAAGCTGAGAAACTCGGTTTTAAGTCCAAAGAAACTTAAAGCGAGAAGGCTTGAAAACTGCTGCTTCTAAGTCACCAATTACCTTTTATATATTGTTAAATAAGTTCTATTTTTCCTTTGGTGTTTTTTTAGAAGTTAATTGCTTAAAATGTGTGTTCAAGGAAAACGATGGTCATTTTTCAGCAATTTGTTGTTGTACCATAGTTAGTTGATTTGACGTCACGTGATAAGAATGGTACGTACTGATTGGTTTCTGGACATAGAACACTATGGAAATAAGTTTAATACCAATAATGGATATAAACCATACTTATATAGCCTGTATTTCTGTACGAACAGCCTTACACACAATTACAATATTATCAGGAGATAGAACTTTCAAAGCTTATTTCAACGGTACCAATAACTCATGTTTTTCAAAAAGTGGAGATAAAACCTTATAGACCTGAGGTGACGATAATATGAAAGCCAAATAGAATCTTAAGAAGGCAGGCGCAGCTTAGGTATACTATAACATGCTCATTTTGATGTATTGCACGACTGAAGCCCCACCCCTTTTTGCTTAAAACATGCTCGAGCTTCTATTTCAATCGATTAAAAGGTAACGTGATCATTGCCGTTCAATCACTGTCACTGTCAATCAATTTATCTATGTTATAAGTCATATATAACACGTGTCTTACTCAACATATTTAAAAAAATTCATCCTAACTGATTGGTTTATTTGAATATGTTAACTCGTAAGAACCGTGGTATATATACTACTTGAATGAAAGAGAACTACCCTAAATATTTTGCAATTTATTCAGATCGGAACCACGTCTACTTTACGTAAAAATCTCCCTTACTTTATACTCCGCTGTTTCATTGGGTTTTACTGTTTTAAAAAAAAAGATAAAATAGGCCCAATGGGAGTGATTTTCAACACGTTCCTTCACAGAATATAATATTAATATTATGAAGCAACAGCAATTTATCAACAGAAATAAGAAGGAGAGAGGACATAGTCAAGGCCACGTTTTTTTCACCGAACGAGATTTATTTTCCTTTTCCACTCTGCAACCCGTCCTATGAACCGGATATATTAATGGATAGGGTAATATATACACTTCGACATCTTGCTGTTGGATCCCATATGAGAAATAAACAAATTGAATGAAGTCGGTAAAATACATTCAGGAAGTATTCTTTTATTTTGTCAATGTAATAAAATGAAAAGAGAATAGCGTGTGGATAAAACTACAAAAGAATTCAGACTAGAATGGTAATAAAATTAGAGCTCTAGACCAAATAAAAACATAGAATAAAACACAATAATAGCTTTATTTTGTAGTTCTCATGACAGACATATTAGTTCTTAGACTGTATAATAGATATATTTAAGTTCGTCAACCGACCACAGCCACTGTAAATAGCGATGTGCTAGAGTCCCCTATGTTTTATATTTTCATATCTGTTCGCCAACTGCATAATAAAATTAAGAAGGCAGATTCACCATCCGTTTAACCAATCGTACCTTAGTCTCAGAAACGGGAAATTTTTTACCTGCACTAATCAATGATAGTGTTCACAGCTCACTATTCAAATTTGAATCTTCAAACCCACGTGTGTACAGAATTACCCGCGCTTGAAAGTTAAAAAAACGACTCGTCTTTGTGTAAGATTTCGCCAAATGTCTAGTAACGGCAGAGCTCGGGGGTATCTTTAAACTTTGAAGGACTTTAGGAATAGCTGGATCTATTGTATCTTAATCTTACAATGTGGTTATTCCATATTATCATTATTTTATCTTAAAGGTCATTGGCTTGATCGATCTGGAATTTACAACCGAAACATTTTGAATTTCTTGCGAATTGTTATAAAATGCGAATTCCTTAATTGAAATAGTAGCCCAACGTTTTATATACGTTTTACTTCAAGAGAAGGAATTCAGTACAATTTTGTTTGACCACTGAGGCTAGTTATGAAATATTTTTAAACCTAAGTTTAGTCAAATGTCGTGAAGGCAATCAAATTGATCAGAGAAACGGCAACCCAAAATAAATCGTCGGTGTACCGTAATTCGAAGCATTGCACGGAGGTACAATACGTTCCTCTCAATATAACAGAATACCGTTTTCATTCACTACTCTTGCTCTGTATTCCAGTGCCATCATTCCCTGCACTGGTTCTCTATCTAACTTCAATCCCTCTATCCACTCATAACTGTTTTTCATCATCCTTACAACCCACTTCCGTCCCCACTTCATTCTCTGTCACTTCTTACCTTCCCTTATCTTACACCCTGGCTTATCTTCTCACACTCCTCCAGACTTCCTTCTTCTCAGTCGCCCATTATGCTTTGATCTTCTTATCTTCCCTCATCATTACATGTACGAATGTACTCTTCTTTTTTCATCCTCTATTTCTTCTTTTCCTTTTCTCCACACTACTTCATCTCTCTTCATTCCTCTCCACTTCTTGCTATCTTCTATAATTTTCTACTGCTATGACTTAATATCTTTTAACACCGTTCTCTTTTCTTGCTTTCCCTGTCTGCTGTTCTTTTGACTTTTTACCGAGTCAAAATAACCGGTCATCGATCATTGTAGTTACAATATAAAGTGTTATAACAACTTATGGTTATGCTAAAAAAAAATCCGAATATTTGGCAACAAATTGCATTACTACTAACCTTTTCAGGCCCATTATTTAAACTCACTGTTAAAACATCTAATCTATAATCTTTTCTATAACCTCTTTCATCAAACGCCAGGTTTCCTGTTAATCCTTCAAATTTTACCTACAACATAGTTAAAAAAAACTGGTTACAACGATACGATTTCATTGATTATAAAGAAGTTTTCTAAATTTTTGATGTGTAACGGGGACACTGAATGCATCAATTTGTACCATTCCAATTTTCAATCAGACGTCCGTGGTTCTTGCAATTCCACTTAAACTAAGTATTTGATGACGCCACTAATCGCAAATATGCAAATTGATGCTAGCAGTGTCCCTGATACACATAAAAATGGAGGACCAATGCCCAATCGTACAAGAAGAAAATAAAATGTGTCTAACAGTTATTAAGAATGGTAGTTTTAACTAGAACTTACCCGTTTAATGCTTTCATATATATCTTTACCATGCATCCAGGGAATAGGTGGACTGATACAAGGTATACCTTTAGTTCTATTGTAATTAAAGACTTCAGATCGTCTAAAGGTATACTGGAATACTCTTTCTTGTCGCTGTATCATAAGTTTTAAAGCTTTACTGATTGTATCTACACCATCGATTGAGAGTGCTGCATCTACCTGGAACATTTTGAAGAAAAATAACTTAGGTAAAGGCAATTCTCACCAATAACGACATTTCGCTATAATTCTTTTCTGCAAAACTGAAATCTGATACGAAAATCGCATAATCCCTTCAAATAAACTTTAAACTAGTTTTTCCACTTTCTATTTCCATAAAAGTCTTTTCTATATATGGCGGAGTTTAGGGGAAAGACGAGTCGTCATTTTTACTTTCAAACGAGGATAATTTCGACGGTAACATGTAAACACTATTAGTAACTGATTAGCTCAGCTAAATAATTCCTATTTCTGAGACTAAGGTTTGATTGGTCAAACGGATGGCGAAACTTTCCCTTTAAACAAATGGTGGAGATTTCACAGAATAAGCCGCTGTGTGGCATCAAGTATATTCTAAAAAAGTCAGCATGTTCTGTAATAATATAGACAAATCGATCATTTGAAATGTTCAAAGGAAACTATTTGGATTATCTTGAACTAGTCCAGGGCCTTTGTACAAGTCTGAAAAAGCTAGTCACGTAGATCGTCTGTAGATTTCAAGATCTATTAATTTTTTGATTGACTTTGATTTAATCTTTTGTTTGGTTGAGGGAAAAGTCTATCCCAAATTTTTTTTTTCTCACTGAATAGGTTAGATTATCCAGAATAATTTTCTATAACTTAGAATTCATTTAATACAGCAGAAAGGTTCCCTTGTTGCCCACATTTTATGTAACTGTTACCTTACATGTCAAACTTACTCAATGGCTCAGTGGTAACCACCCCCCCCCCCCCTTCCTTCCTT